CATTTCCTCCTCCCTCTCTGAAAAGGATGCCCAACTCTGAAATAGTTCAGGCAGCTCTAGGAAACATCAACCAACAAGAGTCGAGAGCTAGCCACGGGGCTTACAGATTTTAATGCCCTATTACAAGAAGCCCTTCTGGGGCTCCCTACAGACCTTTCAACCTCAGAGGAAAGCGGTTTCACCAGAAAGTCCCTCATTACTGCACCCCTCGGCTTCACAGCTGCCCCGGCCGGCGCATGCCAGCACACCGACACGCCAGAGGGCTCTGTACATGGTTTTTAGAAAACCGGTGCAAGTGAAAAGCCCAAACATTGAAACTGATCCAGAATCCCCATCAAAGGGTTGGTGAGAGTTTTACTCGTCCTGACTGAAAACGGGCAGGTGAATCCTTGGGTACTGGGGGATTTTATTTAATTAAGGAAAGGTTCAGCCAAGTCTTGAAGCCCCATAAAGCCATTTAAGCTGAAAAACAAGGTCTGGATTCAGAAACTGAATGCTCCTTCCTCATTATTTTGAAACATTTCACAACAGTGATTAGAAAGCATAAGACTTCTTTTAAAAGCTGGCATTTTTGATGCTGAAAGGAAGACAAGCTCGCCACTGTGTTGCGGCTTCCTTTCCTAAAGGGGACTGCAAATTTTGGCAAAAGGGAACTTGTGGGGAAAACGTGTTGTGTTTCCTACAGAGAACAAAACTGTTGATAAAGCTTTGGAAACTTTCACAGAAAATGACCCAACGTAGCACCGTACTCCACAAGGGCATCCCAAAATGCTTTACAATGCAACTGAAGTACACTAACATGAATGTTATATACCTGTCTGAGGTGTATTTTCTGATGTCGTGTAGTGGGGTTTTTTTCCCTTTAAGAAATTATGTCCCAGTTAGAATAAAGCAAACCCTTTCTTTTATCTGCTCTTTTCAACATGTTCTCTATATACAACCCTTAAAATACACTTAAAAATAGCTGCACAGGTTTTGTATCTTTATACTAGAGAAGGGCAGTCCAGACAGACCATGCTTCTCAGTATGTTAAAAACTGTAAATAAAACCCAACCAGACTCACTCTCCTCTGGCACCCACGTTGGCCCAAAGGAGGGAAGGGAAGGAACAAGCAGTTTTAAAATGGGAGTCTTTCACAAAACACGCTACTTACAAATCTCAGGTTCATTTCCTCAAGCAGTTTTGTATCAAATCCTTTCTTAAATATTTTGAGGTCACACACTGCAATCTTAGCAATGAAATCTGTTGCATCATGCATGTGTCAGCTTCCCACTCAACCAACTGCAACCCTGAGGATTTGTCTGGCCTGGTAGAAAGAGGAAATGTAACACAATTCCTGAAGTATGGCTGGTCCTCCGTTTCAAAACTCCGTGTGATTCCCTCGATGGTCTTGGACACACACCCACACTTTTTTGTTTTTCCTCTAATACACGTTTCCCTCTAACCAACATGCAGATTTGTCCTCATAATCATCCACATCTCGATGTCCCAACGAAACAATCCACATCATCCATCCAGAGGTTTTCCCAGGTAGACCAAAGTCACTTCTGTGTTACCATAGACAGCAGACACTGCTGGATACAGGCAAACTTTTGGCAGTCCTCTGAAGGCAACTCCCAAGAACTCATAGCCCCTCTCAAACGCTAGTGTTTTGTCTTCCATGTCCAGGATAACTCGAATCCTTTCACCTATCTGGAAACAGACAGGAGAGGGGAGTAAAAAAAAAACATAGAAAAGAGTCAGCATATTCAAATGGCGACACAAAAATAAGGCATAGCCCACATGTAACGCAACAGATAATTTTAGAGCAAGGCCTTCCTGTTTCTCATGATTGCATTACTCTTACGATGGGAATTTCTCGCGTTCACTCAAATGCAATAGGGTCTTGAGTACTTCCGTTGCCCATTTCCAGTGGGCAGCCTGTATCTACCACCCACCTACATGGTAATAAACACAACCCTGCTCATATGAACCTTGCGAGAGCACCCAGAGTGAGCGTACTACATGCCGCATGCTTCAGAATACTGCAGAGTTTTGGAAACTTCCTAATAGCCTCCAAGTTACCTGACCTCTGCATTTAGCTGTTGCTGTCAACGAGCTAGTGTCTCTGTAAAGAGCAATTTTAAAGACAATTTTAGACAGGCAAGGGCCACATACAAAATATACCTACTATGCAGGTGCTGTCGCTGACAGAGGTATTCCCTCACCAAGGCAGAAGGAAATTTCAGTGCAAAGCTTAGACAAAGTAAGTGTGAAAAACCTTATATATATATATTCACACTTATTTTTTTAATATATATATATATATATATATGCACACACACACACACACACACACACGAGTGAAACCAACACTGAACACAGCAAGAGGCTCAGATCCAGGCATGCATGGTGCTCCCTGCATTTATCCAGTACACATCAGTTTGGACATAAATAGAAGTCCCAGACACCAGCAAGCAAGCACAGCAGGATGCCACACAAACTTCCGATTCTTCACCAGCCAGCCCCAATGCTAGGGATTTCTTCCAGCCAACACATTTTTCTTCTAACCAACACACACATGTGTTCCCTTTAAGTATGTCTCCTATGACCAGATCACTATACATGGCGTAATAAACACAAAATACTCCAAAGGACCACCAATTTGAGCTCTCACCAATTTGTACAAAGAAAGCAGCAACTGCGTTCACCTTTGAGTCCCCACATGAGCTGGAGACTCTCGGCTTCAAAACCTTTCCTCACCTTGTTGCTGCAGAAAGTCTTAGGCAAGGACAGCAGAAACCCGACCCAATTTGCATGCTAGGGAACATGCAAATGCAAAGAGACCAAAATCTCTTTAATTACACTAATTTGAGGTATTATTCCCAAAAAGGGCAGGTATAACTTTCAGAGAGAGTTGGCATTGCTTGGCAGTGAAAGGAAATTTAGGAATATGAGATACAAGTTACTTCACAGAACTTCACTCCCAACCAAACCATAAGGCAATACTCATACAAAACCCCACCATTATGAGACGGAAATGATAACGCATACAGCGTCAGCCGTAGCGTGAGGAAACCCAGCAGTCAAAATGTAGTTGTGCGAGCAGCCAGAAGAACAAAGATAAACACTTCTACATGGACAAAACGGTGGAACGGCACTTGCTCTTTAATAACCTGAAATTATCTGAACCTATCATCCCAGCCAAGGGATGTCACCTATGGGAACGCTGCCAGCGAGCAAACAAGCAGCACTCAGCGCTGCTGCAGGTTTTTGCAGGAAGACTCTTACCTAAGCTCTAACCTCTGCTCACACTACCATAAAACAAAGGGGTAAAATACCACAGACGTTCACCTTGCTGTGGGGGCAAGTCGTTACTTCAGAAAGCTACAACAGTCTTTTCAGCTTTTATTTCAAAAAGCAACATGGTGCCTAAACAGACACCCACTGTACATGCTTCGCACTCGGTATTTGAGATAAAAGTGCAAAAACAACTCAGGGTCAGGCGTACTGAAGAGCACACAGAGGTGTAGCCCGAGGAAGCACTAAATGAAGGGGGGAAAAGCCTCACAAGGTGGAGTCATTTGCCTTCTGCGGGGAAGGGAAAGAGACACGTAAGTGGGCATTTAGGATGAAATTCAGCAGACAGCCAGGACACACGAGGGAGGAGGTTCTTGACAGCCAGCCGCATCAGACACGGCAGAGCTTCCAGCCCGTGCCAAGCCCCGCTCACCTGGTATTTGGGCGCGTTATTGCACTGGGGGAAACTGCCGTTCACCTCTCCGTTATGCAGCAAGTTATTGTCCACCAGGTTCCAGCCCCAACTCTGGTCGTCGCTCCCCAGCAGGGCCACGTAACCCTGGCACTGCATGGCCGCCCGCTTCGTGGCGATGCCGATGACAGCCACGGTGCCCAGCGGGCCCTCCCACCACACCTCCCAGGCGTGGCGGCCCTCGCTGAAGCCGATCTTGGTCCGCGCCCCGTCCGTGCTCTGGGCGATGGGGTTGCGGTGCAGCGTGAAGCCGTTCTTCTTGATGTAGACGTTCCGCGAGCAGTCGTTGGTGCTGAAGGCGTGGTGGAAGGCACGGACCTAGGGGAGGAGAAGAGGGAGGGCAGGGGGAGATAAAATCCTGTCATGTTTTTTTGTTTTTTTTCCAGACGCCCCAACCGCACCAGCCTCGGTTTGCAACGACGGTTTGCTACTAGGGGGGGTGTCCCCCAGCGCTGGGTGGGGGTGCTGAGGGGCTGGGGAGGGGTGTCCCCGAGGGGCTGCGTGGGGGGTCCCGGGCTCACCTTGCCCTTGTAGGTGGGCACGTTGCAGAGGATGTCAGTGCGCAGGGCCTCCTCGGCCAGGCAGCGGGCCGCCAAGCTGCGCCACACCTCGCTGTTCTCGTCGCCGTGCAGGACGCGGTGCCACAGCTTACAGACCAGCGCGCAGCTCCGCAGCTCCCGCAGCTCCAGGTAGGAGAAGACCAGCTCCAGCACCCGCCCCGGCAACCGCCAGCCCGGCCCTCCCGCCGCCGCCGCTGCCGACCCCCCCGCTCCGTTGCCGCCGGGGCCCGCCGCCATCTCCTCCGATCCCCCCCCACCCCCCCCCCCCTCCCCGAGCGCCGGGCGGGCCGCCCCTTCCCCCTCACCGGTGGCGGCGGGACCGGGGGGGGGGGGGGGGGGGGGGAAGGCCCCTCACGGGGAGGGGGCGCGCGCACCCGGCGCCGCCATCACAGCCGCGCGCAGCCCGCCCCGCCCGCCGCGCATGCGCGGGGTGAGGAGGCGCGGGAAGGGCGGGGGGGGGGGCGGTGCTGAGCGGGAGAGGCCGGCGGCGGCGAGGTGAGGGCTCGGCTTCCTCCCCCTCCCCAAAACACACACGCCGGGGTGGGAAAGGGGCTCACCCCGCTCTTGGACAGCCGTTACACCTCCCCTGAGGGGAGCCGGTTTATCCCGGCGCCGGTCTGGTTGTACTTCCTCAAAATCGGGAGTCGGGCCTACCGGGGCGGGGGAAAAAAAAAAAGTTACCTCAGTTCCCGAAGCGCGGGCAAGTGGCTGGCCGCGAAATTGGCGACCCGAGTGGTGGGGTAAGGTGTCCGGCGCTTTCTGTTGTTTTGTTTAATCGATAAGACTGAAATTTTTCGGGTGGGTTGAGTGCATTTTAGCTTGTTCTTTAGACCAGGCTCAACAAAAATCATGTGCAAAACATAGCATAGTGAAAAAAAAAAAAAAAACACACAACGAAAGAAATCGTTTGTTGCTCAATAATGCAATAAAACCTTAGACGTTAAGGCAGTGTTGCAGTTGTCGAAGCTGCTGCTGGGACAGCCGTAGCTCTATCCCACAACCCCGTGTTGCTGTCTGCACCCTGGTATTAGCTGTCCTTCTCCCCCCACAGTGTACTAGTCTTTCCAAAACTTGTGCTTTGGTGTTGCTCGTTTCCAGCCCCTCCACTTAATTTTCTGCTGATTTGGCCCCCCAAACAGTCCTGTCACCCAGGCTGCAGTGGGCCGTGGCACCAAGGAAAGGGCCCAGAGCATGGTAAGCTCAATGGGTGTGCTTTGAGGCCTAATTAAATGTGTTGCAAACCTCGTAACTATCTGCCTTAAACTGGTAAGGCTTCTTTTAAAAAAGATGCCATTGTTTATCTGTCTATGCTTTAGTCTTACCCAGTCACAGGAAAACTACCCGCGCTTTGGGAACACGAAGGACACATGCACGATAGTTTAAAATCTATTCACACAGCTGTATGCTTTTAAACCGTAATTAAGGCAATCACTTCTCACTTTCAGCTTTAATCGGTTTATCCCACTCTCACCAGCACAAGTTCCTTGCTCCAGGTATCACAAGACTGCTTTATAAACTGATGTTAGGTTCCGACTACCCCGCACCTTGGTAGCTGGATGAAAGACAGATGTCCGCATGTGTCACCCAGACTGGAACAATGTGGCTTCCCTGCAGGCACACTTCACCAGTTTGCAGTCTTCCCCTTGCTCTTTTCCAGTGCATCCCATTAGGACTGTGCCTCTGTTCTGTCAGACGTGCTGTGTCTTTATGCACTGAGGAAGCGGCTCTCGCGTAGGCAGCCCTGTCAGAGCAGCAGATCTACTCCACGTTCTGCGCAGGTACACGTGCCAGCACTGCTGCCGTTCCACGCTACTGTGGATGATGTTCATGCTGTTTGAGCCAAAGCTTCATTTAGGTTCTGATCTGCAGAGGCGTCTGTTTTAATTGGACACTAGAGTTTCAGGTCGTTTGCATTACAGTCAACGGGATGATCTTGTTGCTTCGATACGCTGTAATGAGTCCAACACCTGCTCATTTTAGGGTATTTTTTGTTTTGTTTTGTTTCAGGGGTGTCCCTGAAACATGGCAGTCAAATGGATCGGTGGACACTTGTCCTCTATACTGTGCTTGAATGTAAACATGGAAGGGCTGGTGGCTTCGGGTGCGGAGAGAGGCGAGCTCACGCTGTGGGATGGGGGAGGCGCTCCGGCTGGACAGCTCCAGCTCCCGAAGGCAGACGATGTGACCTCCGTGGTGTTCTCTCCCCGCCGTCCCACCAGGCTGTACGCCTCCCACGGAGAAACTATCAGTCTGCTGGATATCCGATCCCTCAAGGAGCCTGTTGAACGCTTCCATGTGAATGAGGAGGAGATCAACTGCCTCTCAGTGAACGAGACCGACAGTTTCTTGGCTGCGGCAGATGACTCGGGGACCATAAAGGTTATGGACTTGGAAAACAAGAAAGTCAGCCGGTCCTTGAGACACTCCAACATCTGCTCCTCTGTTGTCTTTCGACCTCAGAGGCCTCAAAGCCTTGTTTCCTGTGGACTGGACATGCAGGTGATTTGCATACAAGTAGACGGTTATTAGAGAAGTGAAACAGTCACTACCCACCGGTGTAGTGAGGCGCCACCAGACTTCCACCAAGAGGGCATACAGCCTGCAGTCACCGAAAGGCTCCTTACCTATTCTAAAGTAGTTTTGGTGGAGAAATTAGGTGTCGAGGCTGCTTGTACCATTTTCTACTCAGCAGTTCCTCTCCCTGGTTTATCTTCCTTAATATTTACAGTCTAAAAGTGAGCGGGGTGGGGGTAAATCAGAATACGGTGCAAAGCACGCTCATGCCATGCGAGCTCCCTGTCAGACCTAGCAAAACCAGAAGCTGTCCCTAGCAATCACTTGTGGCTGCAAACAAAATGCAGATGAAAGTTAGGAAACGGAAAAATGCTTGAAGCAGACAGGATGCTAGCAAGAATACTTTACTGCAGGTAGATAAAAATCTCCCCAAGTGGTATGTAGGTATGTAAGGACAAGTCATTTTTATAATTTTATCCTTTGTTCTGAATAGCCTCCTGGAAGCATTAAATGTTCTTTGCTTTCTTCACTTCTATGTTCTCATCAAGAGGAAACATCTTTTGCACGCCACTTGTGGAAGCATTCTGAGAAATACCACGTTAGGAGTTAGTGGAGTCTTGAGTTACATTGCCAGAGGTGGCCACGCAGAACTGATATTTTTCAGTAATTTCTTTCCAGTGGTTGAGATCTGACCACATTCCTGGTTTAGCCCAAGATTAAAACTATCACTTCTACAAAAGTTTCTGTGGTTCTAGTGGTATTAGGGTGAATTTTGCTGTGACAGCGCTGAGCAGTTTCACCCTATGTTCTTAAAACTGAAGTGCATCTAACACCCATTAGAACCAGTATGTGCTGATATTTAGTATAAACGGTATTTTTCCATATTAAAGCCACGGATCATATACATTCAGTAAGTATATATATCCAAACAGGAGCTGATTGATGGAAGAATGACAGGTTTAGACTTTGCCAAATTTTCAGAAATTTTCCCAATTTTTTTTTTCTTAGGTTGACTAAAAGATGAATGTAGGATTTTAAATGAAGTACTGTGAAAAACATATTTTCAGAGGTACCAAAGTGTCAGTCTGAGAAGAGTAAATGCTCAGCACTTTAGACAGCTGGCTCAATTCCGGTCCCTAAAATGCAGAGACTCCACAAGCCTATGGCTGGAAACTTTTTCTCAAAATAGTAAGCGTTTGTATACTACTTCTGTGCGAGTGAACTGATTATTTTTTTGTGATTTTTTAGTTTTAATATGGTTTACTGTATCTCGACAAGTTGGTTGTTAGGTGAAAGTCAGTATCACCAAATAGTAGGAATTTGTTAGTGTGGTTTTGTACGATGAAAAAGAGCATTTTTCCACCTGAAGGCTGGCTTTAAGATACATCATTTCACAAACAGAAGCCGAGCTGCAATACTCTGAAATGCTGTGCTGCAGCCTGTCTCTGGACAAGTTACAAGCCCTATGAGTATCAAAACATGTTGTGGGCTCACATATGAAACCCTCAGTGAAGCCGTAGCTGATGAGAACCGAAATTTAGGTTGCTGGAGTTTTTTCAGAAGTTCCATGGAAGCAGGGAAAATGCCACGGGGACAGAAAATACTTAGTTTGCAGAAAACTTGTTAGCACTTGATGAATTCATAAAGCTGTTGCAGTGCTGACTCTGATGAGAACAGGAGTATTTGCCTTAAGCATTAGGACCCAGCCTCTCGGATTTATTCTGCTCTGCACAGTCATTGTGGAAGTGTTCCCTTTCATTGGTAGCAAAGTGGTTTTAATGTAGCAGCAATGGCAGTTGCTAAAACAGAAAAATGACAGGAAACAACATAGTTTGGATGTCTTAGTGTGATTTGGATTCCAGAAATGCAGAGCCAGTGTGACAACTCTTCTGTGACCCAAATTTAAAGACTCCTGTACTTTCTACTGGAGGGATATTTTTATTAATAACAAATGAAAGCTTTGATTAAAAAAGTAGACAGCACACCAGTACTGCATCAGACTGACTTGTGCTTTCATATCTGTTGGCCTTGAAAATGCTCATCGTCAATTCAGGTCCTACAAAAGTATTGAGGGTACTATTTTTAACTGACGCAGTATAAATCTATAGTATTTTAATTGCTGTACGAGACATGCAGGCTTCATTTGAAGGCATGGTTATTGCTTCATGAGGGGTCTGGAGGTGGGGTGGCATTTCAAAAGGAAGTCTAAATGCACAACCTACCTGCCCATCCCATCAGGAAAGCTCACCTTATCTTGATACAGTAATAGCACAAACCAGATCTACTCATGGGACATAAAAAAAAAAAGTACATATATGTCTGTTTAAAAATGAGGGTCTGAACTACTGTTTGCCTTTTGCTCTTCCATCTTTAAAACAAGTTCACTGAAGCGGTTATTTTAGGACAAGTACATAGCAGAGACAGAACTAAAATTCAGAATGATAATGATCTCTATTTACTGCCAGTGTTTCTGTGTCCCTCCTTTTAAATAATTGATGTGCAATATATCATGATTACTGCTGCTGAGATGAATGCAGAAGCATTTAGAACAGCTTTTTCATCCATTTTGTGGTCTAAAGGTCTGAGTCATTGACTGCTGAGTAGAGCAGTATCAGGGTTTGGATAAAGATACGCTGTATTTATCAGGTGAAGTTCAACCACTCCTCACAACACATGTTGCATCCCTTGCACTCATAGATAGCCTTTGCTAGAGCAAGAAGTGTGGTTAGTGAAAGATCTGATTTTATGTAAAATGGACGAATTATTGATTCATACTTTTTTTCCAAGGTTATGCTGTGGAACCTGCAGAAAGCTCGCCCCTTGTGGACCACAAACCTGCAGGAGTGTGAAACGGAGGAAGACAGTCCGCAGTCAGCTGGCCAGTTCTTTAACCCGCCACTTGCACATTCCCTGTCTGTCGCATCGTGCGGCAACATCTTTGGCTGCGGAGCTCAAGACGGTAAAGTCAGAATATTCAGAGTCACCGGTGTCAAGTTTGAACGTGAGCTGGAGTTTCAAGGTCACAGTTTGGGAGTATCACAGGTCCTCTTTATGCCAGGAGCGTACTGGTTGTTGACTGGAGGAAATGATGGGAAAGTCTTGCTCTGGGATGTCGGCAGTGATGTTGGAAAGCAGCAGAAAAGTCCAGCAAAATCTCTGCAGAGAAGGAAGGGCCAAGCACCTGCTTCCACCAGAAAAGATGGAAGGCTCAGCAAAGTGGCTTCAAATGAACATGCTACAGTTTTACCAAAGCTAAGCATTGAGCATGGAGAGAAGGTGAACTGGATCTCCTGTGCAGAGATCAAAGGCTCCAAGAGAGTATTAGTTGCTGATCAGAGTAGTTCTGTATCTGTGTATCCATTGCCAGAACTTTAGACACTGAGATGTTTAAAGAAATTTGTGGGGGAAAACCACTTCTCAGAGTGTTTTGAAATGAGTCCAGTTACATTTGCTGGTAGTGAACTGAACGGTGAAACCTGCTGCATCCTTTGGAAGGGGAAGGGGTTTGCTGTGTACTCATGCAAGTGCTCATGATGTAACTGGCCTCACGTTATGTTTTTCGGCAGCTGTTGGTATTCACTGCAGCTGTTTCTTGCAGGGTTGGCAGTTTGCTTCTGGAATTTAAGTGAAACGGGTTTCAGTTTATTTAGGGGTAATATTAGCTCATGACTAAGCTGACGTAATTAAGGTTGGGGGAAGAATTCATGCTAATGGGAGCACCCACAAAGCTAAATGAGGATGCAGAGCAGTAACAATGTCATTGGCTGAGCTGCTTGCATTTTGAACTATTGCAGTGCTTTACAGTGTTCCCCCCATGAAACTGTGTCACAGTTAGCTTAAATTGGCCATAGTGGAAATATATTTTTCATTAGTTTGTCAGCAGCTTTATATAAGACTGGAGAAGCATCAACTAATGAGTAATCAGATTAGTTCAACTGTCATTGCCAATTGGATTCTCTCACACTGCAGTAAATGAAGGAGCGGGGGAAAATGTTAACATCTGTTTAATGGGTCAGCTGTCTTATGCATTTAGTTATTTATCCCAGGGAAAAATAACTATTACACTTGTCTTAATAAATGCTTTCTTTCTCACCGCTCCCTTCTGCTTATACTCACTCCAATACTGCCAAACTTACACAAATTGTGTCAGGAAGTATACTGTATACCCCATCACAGGGGGAACATGCAGGGCCAAATGCACGGCTCCTCCTTACCCAAATACTTCCACTGTCTCCCCAAAGCTTTAGAAACACAATGAGCAGAACCTGGCTTGCTAGAAACACCTCTTAATTTGCAAGTAGAAGGTGAGGAGAATGTAACTAAGTGGGAATGTTGCAGCTCTTGACACGTTCAGTTCATGCTGGATTTCCCATGGAATGGGCAAATAATTAAAAGAAAAAAGGCTTTTTTTTCTCAGTCTGTCCTTAACCTTTCACAAAACTGAATGCCTGGTACTGGCTGAAGACCTGCTTCACTGATGTGGGGTTTGTGCTGTCTTGTTTCACCAGCTGGGTTGTTACTGGACACACATTATCTATCTACCTTCTTTTTTTCTTTTTGATGGAAACATGTCCAGCGGTTTTTTTGCATACTCAGCTCCTGGAAATCATTAAACAGTTGTGCTGGCTGGCTGGCCTTTATGGACGAGGTTCCAACCATCTTGGTTTTGCTCAGAGCAGCTCCCCGCAAGCAAACACGACTCATTCTCATCCAAATCTGATTTTACCATCATACTTTTTTTTTTTTTTTTTGAAAAAAAAAAGAGGGCAATATGCTTGCACAGCCTTTAACAGCAGGAGACTTTGGCCCAAGGCAAAAACTGGTGGGTGCTACAGCAAAATGAAGCCAAAACACAGCAGAAAAGCAGAATAACTTAGGTACCCCCCCTTCATGTCACCTCTGAATTAATTTCAGTATGGGGACAGGCAGGATCAGTGGGTCAGAGGAAGCGGTCCGGATGTGTAGTGCAGTATGTGATACGTTCATGAGCATGTGTCTGTGCACCTAGGACCTATATTTGGATAGACCGTCTATAAAAAGCCTGGGTACAAACGACCTCCGGCAGGACTCAGATCCACCGTCCCTGTTGTTGCTGCCTGCTTCAGGAGAGAGGATCAAACCCACGCCCGCTTTTATTTCTTCTCTTCGTGTTCGCCAGGAAGATGGCCAAAGCCAGCATCTCTCTGCGCTTCCTGAACGAGACGTTAAACAGGTCATTGAAGGGGCGTGCTGCCACCGCGCTAAGGGACAGGGAAGGACGAGGGGCGCAGAGCACCGGGGCGGGGGAGAGCAGACAAGACTCTCTGTGCTTCCCTGGCAATTGTAATGGGTAGTAGAGAGGATGTAAATATACACTGGGTGTACTCAGGAAAGGAATAGTCCGTGAGCAATCTTCTGCTTCTCCTTCACTCATTGGGGAGGGAAGGGGGATAGAGTCAGAGGCTGCTCCCTTTGAACGCTGTTGTGGCCAGCCTGCAGGCTGCTCGTCCTGGCTGTTTGCTGCGGGGTTTGTGCAATTGCTCCGTCAGCGAAGGCCCGTGGCTGCGTGAAGTATGGCCAGGCCATTATGAGTAACGGGGAAGTTTGGGTTTGCGCTCCACTGCTGTTGCAAGTGGGAGATTTGGGATGAACTTCTGAATTTGGGAAGATGCCTCAGAGTCTGGAGGGTTCAAAGATAGGCAGTAGGTGGTTATAGTTAACAAAAAAAAAAAAAAAAAGCCCTCTGAGTACGGACCTTTTTTATAAGTTTAAAGAAAGAAAATCACTGTCACCGAGGAACTGGGACATAGGTGATGCTGATTCATGCTCCATTTTCAAAGCCTGTACTCAGAAGAGGAACACTTGGCCAACAGGTTCACTGGCTTCATGTAAAATAATCCGGCCTAAACTGCCCATGCTGGCACCCGTCCCCGCATTCAGCTGCACTGTGACAGCATGGTCGCTGGTAGATGGGGTCTCTAACCAGCTGGACAGACAACTGCGGGATCAAATATAAGACGTGAGCACAGCTCTTCAAGAAAAAGAGTTGAAAAAGTGTCTGAAATTCTCCACAGTTGGAGACAGGCGAGGCAGTGTACCCTCAGTGGATTTTCCCATGGATTTTCATATACTGCCTTTAAAGGTGCTGTGCAAATAGTATCAAGCAAGAAATGTATAAGTCAGCTTAGGTGTTATACATACATGTAACTCTACCTGTAGTAAAAATGATCACTGTCTAGAGAGTATCACAGCTGATGGAATGAAGTACTTCTGTTTATGAAATTAATGTTTATAGACTAACACCCACTGATAGACTTGGTAAGAAACTGCTCCTCAGGTCAGGATACTAAGACTGTTCACCAGTGGCTTTTATGACTCCGATTCACACAACAGTAACTGCAAAAAAAGACACCAGAGACCTGACCAGAGAAACAAATACGGGAACCACTCCTGAAAGAAAAAGTGAAAATTCACAGGCAAGTATCTCCCCCAGGACAGCACTCCTTATCCATCCAGCAAACCTTGAAGAATATACTGATTTTCCAACAGTTCCCCCCTCTCTCTCAAAGAGTGCTTGCACCATGTTATTTTACTATTGGATATCCTGTGCTATCACATTGAATCATCCTATTTGACTGTTGTTCTCCGCTTGCGCAGCTATAGATACGAAGTGGATCTGAAAGGTATGCACAGCAAACGTCGACCCACCTCACCTCAGCTTATACACTTGCTCTCTCTGTGCTGACAGACTTGATCCCATTATATGTCTTCCAATTCTTCTGAACTATCTGCATTTCTACATCACACAAGCTCAATTTTCCAATGGAAGTTCAAATTTAGTCCTAAAATTCTATTGGCGAAGCATGCACACGTTTAAATAGGTGAACCCCTGCTGAAAATTAGTCCAGGAATGATGTTACAACCTGAGGGATGATAATTTGTTGAAATCCAATACCCAGTAAGAACTGTGCCCAGTTTCAAAGTTGCCTGTGACCCAGCAGGAGACAGGAGGCCCTGAGAAATAAGAACTTTGCTGAAGCAAGAGAAGTCCTACCAAAGATCAGGACATAAGCAGCTTTCACAAGATCACAAATGAAGTCTCCTAGCCCTAGGAAACATCAGGAAATCATTAGACAAGGATCTGCTCAAGCTGCCAGACATAATGAATTAAGGTCAGGGAGACTTAGAAAAATATGCCACTGTCGATGCCTTTGTATTCTCTTCTCATTCAAGTCAGCTGCAGATGGAACCCAAAGCAAGAGCAGAGGAAGGCAGGTAGAGGGGGGAGCTCCTGTTAGTGAAGTAGTGGCATTCTTGGTCCTTCTCTTAACAGGCTTCAAAATACCATGGAGTATGCTTGAAAGAAGGGAAAGCTATTGGTCAGTTATTTATTCTGCTCTTTATACAATCTAAACTTAACCTCTGCTTGTTTGGAGCGGGGTTTTGTGGGTGGCTTTTGTGGTGGTGGGTTTTTTTTTTTTTTTTTTTACGTCATCACTAACCTGAAAGCTACTGTCTATTTTGTCCTTACAAAACAGTTCAGCCAAAGATAAACAAAATAGGGTCACAACAAACAAGGTAAAGACTTTAATACAGTGTTTAACACGGGTAGATCACAATTCAGAATCCAATCACCTAAAGATTAGAACAATACAATAATAATAGTAACAGAAGCAGTGGAGCAAAAGGGATGCAGAGAGGGGCCAAAGCAAAAAATGTAGGGTCTTGCCCATAATAAAATTTAGCGATGGCATGGTTTTCCTTTAACTGATACAGCCTGAAGTTCTGCCAGTAAAATGCAAAGAAAAATCCTAAAAGTCTATAAGGAGCAGGTGATGCTCTGCTAGTAAATCACTTGTCAAGTACCGAGGTATTTGGTATTTAGGAAGGAACTTTGAATGGTTCATATTTTGATAGCTTTGAGATCCTCAGGATTCTCCAGAACACACCTTGATGTAAATCAGCTAACTGAGGCAAACTTAAAGAAAACTTGTCTTTACAAAAACCATCCCTGGAAGGACAGAAGCCCAACGTACCCTACTCCTCCAGTAAAGAATAGTAAGTGCATACAAAGCATAAATACTTGCATTCCCTCATACTTTGTCCCTAAAACCAGTAAGTTCTCTTAAACTGGGCAGTTTGCTTGAGAAAAGGTAGAACAGCTCAAACTCAAAACCCCATCTTTAGCATTATAATTTAAGAGAGCACAAAGATGGACCTTTTATTTTGTTCAGGTTTTTTTAATGAGAGAAGCAACAGATACTAAGTAGTGAAAAAGCAGCTGATAAATACCGGCGATGAAGCAGTTTTCTTATTGCTGTTTCAAGGTCTTCTTATCACATGGTTGTTCTGTGGAAGGACAGTCCCATAAAAGGGAAAACCAAAGCAGGATGAGCTGATGGGAGAAGAGAAACACTGCGGGTGGCTTGTTTATTATTTGCATCATTTTAATCTGAGGAGAAATGTGAAGTTCTGCTCAATGTCAAATGCAAATGGTTCAAAAGATGATGACACTACAAGTAAAAGCACAAATCGCCTCAAAAGGTATTTGAGAAAAAGCTGTGCCACTACTGTTAATGCAAATGGTTGAAGCCTGCAGGCATATTTAAATACAAATCTTGCTTCTGTATTTACGAGACCTCTGCTCCAGGGAAAGGTCAAAAAACCTTAATTTCTAGTGGTGTGTGTTCTCCTATAGCTTGGGAGGAGGCTCAGCACATGGTGTGGAACTGTCCACAGCGTCACCCCACATCCCAGCGGAAAGCACCGCGGGTTGATGCCCAAATCCTTACGGAACGCCCTTGTTTCCCACCCCTCAGAGTAGAAACCAAGCTGCACGCCTTGGAGGCTCAGTTCGCAGACCTGGACTCGAGCTTGCAGAAACTGGCGCAGAAGTTTGAGCTGCAGGCCGAGGCGCTGGAGAAGGAGATGAGCCACGACGGCCCGTGGCCGCGGGGGCCAGAGGAGAGGTGAGCAGAGGGAGAGGTGGGTCGGCCCTCGTCCTGGACACACAGGCGGGTGACACCAGCGTGACCGTGGGTGCACTCCCACGCAAGGTTGTACAACCCCCACGGACATACTTACCCTTCTCAGAGGGGACTATTTACCACAGAAATGGAGGCTATGAGGAAAAAGTATGGTTTCCTTTGATAGTTGTTTATTTAAAAAAAAAAAAAACAGACCAACCACACAGTCTATGAAATATTTATGTGGTTTAAAAACAGCCATGCTGCTTCCAAGGTGACGGAGACATGAAGGCTTCTGTCCCACGGAAAGTAAAAGGGCAAAAAACCGCAACTCGTTAACACTATGCTTCCTTTCTCCCATTAAATAAGATTGTAGCACTCAGGCTAGGCTTTGCTAATGCACACATTTAATCTTTTCACCTCCCGATGGAGAGTTTCTGGAGCAGCTCTTGGCTTTCTGCACACCCAGGGAATGGCGCTGCAGTCAGGCTGCCCCGCTGCGAGGTCCGTGGGTAACTATTTATGGCTTGGGGAACACTTGTCCGGACAAGGGAAGGTGCGGCGCCGCGGGGAGACGGAGGGAGGCCGGCCGCTCCCGGGGCGGGCCCGCCTGAGGCCGGCCGCGCTCTGTCTCCCGGCAGGCTCGGCTCGGAGGAAGAGGAGGAGCGAGAGGCCGGGCGGCGGGAGAGGCCCGTCAGCGAGGGCCGGGCCGGGCGGCGCCGCGGCGGCGGCGGCGGCCATTACGCGAGGCCGCAGCCCTGCCTGCCGCCGGGCCCCAGCGCCGCCGCGGCCCCGCCGCGGAGCTGCAGCTCGGTGGGTGCCGACTCCGTGATCTGAGCGACCGGGGAGAGGGGTTGTGCGGGGGGGTGTGGGGGGGGGGGTGGTGAGGGGGGGAACGGCCGCCCCGCCGCCATGGCCGCCTCCTCGGGGCCGCCGCACCTTGGGGGCTTCGTACGCCGTAATTTTTCTGTCCGTGTACAAATGGAAATCGGCCCGGAACAGGTATGCGTGGACTTAACTAGGTCTTCTTAAGAAACCGCCTGTAAAACCGGGTGTTTCTGTGTTATCTAGCGGCCTTTAAAAAAAAAAAAAAATAGCCAAAAAAAAAATAAAGGATTTGTTTTATCAACAAAGGGAGAGCAGAAACAATAAAACCCAACTTAAAGTATATTTGTCTCCATGTTGAGTTCCTGTGCGACTGGTACTACAGCCTTTCTCTCAGCAGGACCTCTCGTCTCTCTGAGGCCGACTGTTTTTAAGAAGCTCGTAAGAACTCTTTTAAGTTACTCTTAACTTAAAAGCCAGTATTTTTACCCTTTTTGCTGTATGTGTCTCTTGTTTTTATTTTCTGTTCTACAGTATTTCTGGGCCAAGTGGAAAAATCCTGTGAGGAGTGTTGGTGATAGAAAGGCTGGATGATCCTCACCATTTTAAGTCATACAAGAAGATGCTGAAGTGTTGAACACGTTGGTTAGTGCTTTGCTTATATTAATGAAGAGTATTTTGGCCTTTTAGTCCCATGTCGTGGTTTGAGCCCAGAGGGCAACTGGGCATTACCCAGCTGCTCCCTCACTCTTTCCGCCTCAGGAATGGGAAGGAGAAAAATACAGCAAAAGGCTTAGGAATTGAGATAAGGACAGGGAGGGGTGGCTGGCTCATGATGGTCACAGGTAAAAGACAGACTTGTTAGGGGAATTAAAAAAAAAAAATCAAACACTAACAACAACACTTAACAGAGTAGGACAGTGAGGAGTATAACCACATCTTAAGAACACGTTCCCCCAACCTCTCCCTTCTTCCCAGGCTCAGCTCTGCTTCTGATTTCTCTGTGTCTTCCCTGGCAGGGGGTGGGAGGGCACAGTCAGTCCTGCTGCTCCACTCTCCTTAGGGGGAGGACTCCTTGCACTCTTCCCCTGCTCCAGCATGGGCTTACTCTCACAGGAGACGATCTTCCACAAAAGTTCTCCAATGTGAGTCCTTCCCACAGGCTGTAGCACTTCCTGAGCTGCTCCAGGCTGGGCCCTCCCTACATGTTGCAGTCCTCCCAGCGCTAAGCTACAACAGCATGGGCTACCCTCAGAGTCCTGGCCTTCTCCAGGCACAGCCCCCTGCTCTAGCGTGGGGTCCACCGCGGGCTGCAGGTGGGCATCTGCCCCACTGGTGACCTGTGCTCACCATGGGCAGCAGGGGACTCTGCTCTGTTGTACCTCCCCACCCCCTCCTTCCTTCCACTGACCTTGGTGTTTGCCAAGATGTCTCCTTCACAACTCCCACCCTTCCTCCCAGGTTCCTCTTTCTTAAATACATGATCACAGAAGCACAGCCACCATCACTATTTGGCTGGGCCCTGGCCAGAAGCAGGTCTGACTTGAAGCCGAGGAAGCTTTAAGAAGCTTCTCACAGGGGCCACTGCAGTAGCCCCCTCCCCTGCTACCAAAAACCCCGCCACACACAGACCCACCACATTCCAGTTTAAGCAAATGAATGAATGAGGAAGAACCTCCTCTGATGCATAGGGTTGTTGTATTTCACCGTCAGAACATGCTAGACCCAAGTCTGTACCAGAAGCAGCTTTTGAAGGATGTGCATATAGTGAAAAATAGACTGAGTGGAAGGTTAAAGTAACTGTGATAATGCATCCACCAAATGTGAGCATGGATTATCACTAATAGAGATAGTGCTGGAAGAACTCTCACCTTCTTTCCCCCCTCTCCTTTCTACCTCCTTGCTATCCCCAAAGCACCTGTTACAACTCACAGGAAAGTGCAGTAAGAAAACCTGCTACAGTTTCCCTGGGACTTCTGGAGAGACTTGTGTCTTCCTCTGAAAGTTGAGAATCTCTCGGGTCGTGAGCAAAAGTAACCACTTAAGCAGATTTCCTAATCTACTAACATCTTCATAAAGTAGCTGTAAAACTGAGCATTTTCCATTTTCTTCTATAGTCATTACGGAGAGTAAAATACGTGTTTCTTTTTACTTCCAGGTACTGATGCTGTACTAGTCTTGTTCCTCTACTTCGAGTCAGTATGTCAAAGAAATTGAAGGCTCCGCTTTCCTTGTCTGACTGCCTCTGCCAAATTTGCATGGAGATCTTTGTGGAGCCTGTGACGCTGCCATGCAACCATACCCTCTGTAATTCTTGTTTCCAGCTGACAGTTGAGAAGGCCAGTCTTTGTTGCCCTTTTTGCCGGCGTCGAGTATCTTCCTGGGCACGATACAATGCCCGCAGAAATACTCTTATCAACTGGGAACTCTGGGAGAAGATTCAGAAGAATTACCCAAAGGAATGTGAACGTAGGATTAATGGACAGGATTTGGAAGAGGAAAGTAAGTAAAATGTCACTCGTCCTGGGTTGTCTGCTTTACCAAAGTAGTTACTGTTGGTGGACTTTGGATGTTGTGAAATAAGAAACTGTGCGTAGACAGGCTGTGCTGCTGCTGGAAAATGCAGTGTCAGAGCCCTCCCGTGAAAGGGTCTTGCAAGGCAGAGAAATGACCATCCGTGCCTTTTGTAGTACAGGGGGTGAGTTATATTGCCTGGTCATTTAAGTGGATATTTGTTCATGCATTTTGCACGGAGCATTGGTGTATGGCTGCCTAGCCTTGCAAAGGCAGTAATTCATTACTGATGGGACTTCAGCTGTAAAATCTCTAAGTGGAGTATTTGTGTGTGTGTGTGTGTGTTTATCACTGTCAAATAAGTGAAGTGGTTAAAAGTTTTTCAGCTCTTGGATGCTGTTAATCATTTTGGTTCGAAATTCCAGGGCCTCAGTCTATGCAAAAATCTCTGAGCCTAAAATTGTGGTGTCAGAGAAAGGAAGTGAAATCTGATTAACTCTTTGAAGAAGGATTTGGGGGTTTATTATGTTGTAAGCTCCCCTGGGGGGAGGTGAACTGGTAAGTTAGCTCTATGACCTATTGTTCCACTTGCGGTATCATGAAGTCTTTCTAATCACAAAAAGTGAAAGACGTAAATTGTGGTCAGCATACATATTTGCTGTATATGCAGTGCTTGGAAAACACTGACTCTTCTTGCCACTCTGTGCTTTTTTACTTTGCTCTCTTGTAACACAAAGTGATTGCTTTTTTTTTCACAGCACTTGATTTAAGTCAAATCATTCCTGTGACAGGCTATGGAAGTCATGTTTTGTTAAAATCTTTTGTTGTTGACTGTCCTGATCTTACCTTGTTCCTCAAATTTTTTTTTTTTTTTTTTGCCTCCCCTTCCTCTCAATTAGTCTGTGTCCCCCACCCACAACACCAGCTGTGCAAGCCAGGGGAACTGAGGCAGGAATATGAAGCAGAGATTAGTAAGGTAAGTCTAAAAATATATTGAAAAGCATAAATGCTTTGTATCTAGTTATTTTAATTGTTCCCATAAACAACTGTAGTGTTATTTAATGAAAAAGAAAGATAGTTAAAAGGGTATTGCTGCTGCAAGAACACACTGGTCATTCCTGAAGCATGAAATAAGTTTGTATCCTATGTGGAAGGGGAGAGACTTCCTTGTGTTTGACATGAGGCAACATTTCTCAAGTTTTCTTGTGCTAGTTGATCTATACCTCCTACCTCACCCTCTGAGTCAGTCCAGTAACATATGGTGTCTTGTTGCCACTGCAAGTAGGTGTGCTTCTCAGGTGTCCTGATTTTGGCTGGGGTAGAATTAATTTTTTCTTCTTAGTAGCTCACATAGTGCTGTGTTTTGGATTCAGTATGGGGTTTGGTATGAGGTGAATGTTGATAATGCACCGATGTTTTCAGTTGTTGCTAAGGAATCAAGGACTTTCCAACTCCCCGTGTCCTGCCTGGGTGCAGGTGCACAGGAAGCTGGGAGGGAGCACGGCCAGAGCACTGGACCCAAACTGGCCAAGGGAATATTCCATATGTTCAGTGTATGGATAAGGGTTGAGTCATGCTCAGTGTGTAGATGAGGGTTGACCAGGAAGCTCGCTCACGCTCTCGGGATTGCGCTTTTGGGATTCTCACCTCTCTGGGTTCGCTGGCCGGGAATGGGCTGGGCATCGGGTGGCAGGTGGTGAGCAATTGCACTGTGCATCACTCGTTTGTATTTTCAATTATTACTATTATTATTTTAATTTTACTTTCTTTCAATATTAAATTGTTTTCATCTCAACCTATGAGTCTCCTTACCTTTATCCCTCCAGTTCTCTACCCCATTCCCCAGGGGTGGAGGAGGGTAAGCGAGTGGCTGTGTGGTGTTGGGCTGTGTCCTGGGTTTGAGGACACAAAACGTGGCTGGCCAGGTTTAAATCACAACAGTCCTTTTTGGAGAATCCACCTCTTACCCTGTACCATTTGCGTTATGCTCAGTTTCCATGTTTTCCAATACATTCTAATTCATCACCATCATCCTTCTTGGGTTTGATATATACACGGAGATCTCATTCTCTTAGTCTGTGGGCCATCTCTCCAAAATGTGTAGTGAGATCCTTTAGTCCATAGCTCTGGGTTCCATCTGTCATGACAGTCTTTCAGGGCAGGAGGGGTGATGTAGAGTTGGCTCAGTCAGTGCACTGGGCGGAGGATGGTGTGTAGTCTGCTGCGTTTGGAGCTCGTAGCTGGTGGCATGGTCCATGCTCGCTGTCTGTGGGTTGAGGATGTCAATCCAGAGAAAGTTGCTGGGTGCCACTTGCTGAAACTAGTCCTGACTTCATCAAAGTTCATTTTTCATTACCTGGGTGATTCTTAATATGGTGACAGTAGTATCATACATATCAACCATAGCAATGATGTTATGCAATAACAGGGTTATATAGCGATGAACATCATACAATTCAGCTCATTGGCTATTTTCACCCAAAATCAAATCCCCCTTGAGGCACACATCGAACTTCCTCGTCCTTCTGCATTACCTACCAAATGCACCCGGGTCCTTGGGCAAAAGTAATCCCACGCATGGGTTTATCTTTACTTAAGGCAGGAATAACTCAGACTGTCTTCCCCAGCATATTTTTAATGTGCACTGCAGGGACTTTATCCCCCTCTACAGTACGTAGAAGGTTTGACTGGGCAGGGCCAGCTCAATCGGCAGATCACCTAGTGTTGACTAACCAGGTGGCTTTTGCTAAATGTGTATCCCAATGTTTGAAAGTTCCTCCACCCAGTGCTCTCAGTGCAGTTTTTAGCAACCCATTGTACCACTCAATTTTCCCAGAGGCTGGTGCATGACACGGCATGTGATACACCCACTCAGTGCCACGTTCTTTGGCCCAAGTGTCTATGAGATTATTTTGGAAATAAGTCCCATTATCTGACTCAATTCTTTCTGGGGTGCCATGCCACCACAAGACTTGCTTTTCAAGGCCCAGGATAGTGTTCTGGGGGGTGGCATGGGGCACGACATAATGTTTCCAGCCGTCTGGCACTTACCATGCCAGGTTTGTGGGAGCATGATATTATCAATCTGCCAGGCCTCCCCATATCTATATTTTAACCATTGTCCTCCTTACCAAAGAGGTTTTAACCATTTGGCTTGCTTGATCGTAGTATGTGTTTCACATTCATGGATAACCTGTGCAGTAGTGTCCATGATTGAGTACACTCCTTGATCACGAGCCCATATGTATGTCATATCCCTTCCTTGATGGTCTGAGGAGTCATAGGCCCAGCGAGCCATAAATTCTGGGAAGCACACAGAGGTACCAACACAGCAGAATGGCCAAGCAGGTCTCTGTTAGCCAGTACCTTGTATTTCCCAAAACTCTGCAGAAGAGTCCTTTCAGGGTTAGAGTGTCACTCTTTCACTGCATATAAAGTATTTTGGACTAGCAAATGTAAAAATTTTGAACTGTTTGGTCTTGCACTTGACTTCTTGATATCCCTCCTTCAGTAACAGACCACAATTAGATGAGCTTCAGTAGTGAACACACAGAATTACTGTGTGTTCATTACTGAACACACATTTTCCTTTTTATTTGCTCACTCTCTGTGTTATCTGTGTTCATTTGAAAATCAGAAAAGATTTTTAAGAAATCTTAATGTTTCCCTATTTAAGGATCCTCCTTCTTGCAATTCAGACATGGTAGTAGTAAGAATTACTGTTGGAAGTAGCATCAGAATGCTCCTTTCCCTGACAGCCCTGTTGCTGGCTGTTAACAGGAGCAGGGGAACTACATGAAGCAGGGGTCTGTGGGATTCTCTTTTATGGCAGTTAGAGGATAAGATTAATTGGCAGCAGTAGTGTCGATGGTTAATGGAGATGGTGCCCAAAAGCAGTGAAGTAAGTACCAGTGTCTGGTGCCAATTATAAGACATCAATACATGATTTGAAACAAACTTAGACCTAACATAGCTTATGTAGTATTACAGCCTGATGTTCTTCTCTAAAGCAAATTTCCAAATTCCATTACCCCGTGAAGAAAGGTTTATTCGTTCTTGAAGTATTTTGCTGATGATGGATTTATCAAGAGTGGATGTCTGCTCTAAGGAAGGCAGATTTAAAATTCTTGATCTGCCACTTTGGGTTTTGCTTGTTTCAAGAGAGCAGAAGGACTCTTCTAGAAGAGAGATGTGCTGTCTTCTGGCATCTTGTGCTAATACTGGAATTGCAATGATATAAGCAGGTTGAGCAAATGCTGTGGTCTCGGTGGCATCCAGCCTTATAAAGAATCTTAATCTGAGTTTCTCTGTAGATCCATATGCTTGAAGATCTTAGTTTTTGTTACTAGCATTTTGAAAAGGTGAGTAATGGAATTTAACCTTTCAGGCAAGGAAGGTTAATGGTGTAGTCTTACAGAAACCAAAAGGTAGGTCACTGTTATCAAACCAAAGACTCTACACACAGTATCAGTTTGGTTCTTACATCTTTGGAGACTCATGTAATTAAATACTGGCTTTGAAGCGTGCAGAGTGTCTTTGTGAATAGCAGATTGTTCACATTTAAGTAGCATCAGCCGAGAAGTTCTGGCATAAAGTGTAGTTCTACACTAGTAACCAGATATATTTTAAAAAATCTTTTTTAGGTGGAGGCAGAAAGGCGAGCACATGAACAAGAGGAGAACAAGGCAAGTGAGGAATACATTCAACGGCTTCTAGCAGAAGAGGAGGAGGAAAACAGATTGGCAGAAGAGAGACGGAGGGAGATGGAGGAACAGCTGAAGCAGGATGAAGAGTTAGCCTGGCAGCTGAGTAACAGTCTGGTGAGTTAGGATCAAGGGGGACGGTAGAAAATGTTGATATAGTGCAAGCAACTTAGATGTTTCAAAGCAAAAGTTAAAATTTTGAATAATTTACATTTATTTTAATTGTAGTTGGAAGCTGTTGTTGGCCCCCAGTACTTTAGATCCTTGATTGACCATTAATTTTTGAAGAACTGGCAGGAGGGTGACATGCCCCAAACATTTCTACCTGTGTAACATGCACTTGAAGTGTGTGCTGGATGTTTTCATCGTGAAACATTTTAAAACGTTGTTTTTCTTCTGAATCCTTCCTTTCCCCCATGATTTTAAAAATACTTCTTTGGAAGGAATTGATGTCTGTAACCCGTACTGAAAAAAAGTAACGTAAAAATTTACCTTATGTTTTGAGGGGTTTTTGTTTGTTTTGTTGATTTGTTTGGGGTGGTTGGTTGGTTGGTTTTTGCCACCCAGTAATTGTCCTGATGATGAAACCTGTGTACTTATTTGAGCAAAACCTCTTGACCCTTAATGCCAGTTACAGGAAAGCGTACAGAAGATGTAATGTTTCTTATTCCATAACTATCCATTACTTTCAGTTCTAGAATTCTTTGGACAAAAGTAACTAATTCTGCAGCAGAAACAAAGTAGTCCTCTGGGTTTTCTCCAGTTCGTGTTGTGTTTTGTTTTATTTAATGCTATTTTTACTCGTCAAAGAATGATGATTCCAGAGGACGTATGCTCAGCAGTCCTTCACCAGCAGGCAATCTCTCATCTGAAACATCCCCAGCTAATTTGCGCAAGATGAAGAACAAACCAAGCAACTCTGGAGACATTCAGAAGTAAGTAATTCAAGTTTTTCTTTAAGTATTGATCTGTTTCTTGGTGTTACGTCCCTCTGCTCCATTTGCTTCCTTGGAATCCTGTAGTCCAGTTTTCCTGGACAATCTGGGGCATGTGTAAACTCTTGAATGTTAAAAAATCTCCTCATGGAGAAGAGAAACACCTGTCCTTGTCTTGCTGTTTTTGTTTGTCAGAATGAACCTGAAGATCTTGATTAATGCAAAGAACTGACAATTCAAGAAAAAAAAAGTTTACAAACATATACTGTTTTATTTCCTGTCAAGGTATCTGTCTCCAAAGCTTCATCATACACTGGGATCAGCATCGTTCTCCAGAACAACAGAAAGAGGCAGGAGCGACTCTGGCTTTGTGGTAACTAGAGTAATTTTGTTATAAATCTCAGTGTTAATAATTATGGCTTATTTTCCCCTTGCCTATAGGATTGACAATCCTGCACCCTCTTGCACATCAGCACTGGGCAGTTCACCTTTTTGAACTACCTTTAGTATTCATGATTCCCCAAAGTGGAAAGGGAGGAAACCGTGCTTGACAGTCTGCAGACACACACCTATGACTTTGATAGTTACCTTGTACAGCCTTAGACGTACCTTACCCAAATTTCTTCAGTGAGCTCTGGGTTACGTCTCGTGGCGTATAAAACTGTGGTGGGTTGACCCTGTCTGGACACCCAAGTGCCCCCCAAAGCTGCTTTATCACTCCCTCTCCTCAGCTGGGCAGGGCAGAGAAAATATAACAAAAGGCTCATGGGTGGAGATAAGGACAGGGGGAGACCATTCACCAGTTACCGTCACAGGCAAAACAGACTCGACTTGGGAAAAGTAACTTAATTTCTTGCCAATTGATTTAAATAGGGTAATGAGAAATAAAACAAATCTTAAAACACCTTCCCCCCGCACCTCCCTTTTTCCCAGGCTTAACTGTACTCCCAATTTCTCTCCCTCCTCCCCCCAGGCAGCGCAGAGGGGCAGGGGATGGGGGTTGTGGTCAGTTCATCACCCATTCTTCCAGCTGCTCCTTCCTCCTCAGGGGTAGGACTCCTCATACTCTTCCCCTGCTCCAGTGTGGGGTCCCTCCCATGGGAGACAGTCCTACAGTGAACTTCTCTGACATCACTGCTTCCCGCAGGGCTGCAGTTCTTCATGAACTGCTCCAGCGTGGGTCCCTCCCACGGGTTGCAGTCCCTTCAGGAACAGGCTGCCCCAGCGTGGGCCCCCCGTGGGGTCACAAGTCCTGCCAGCAAACCTGCGCCAGTGTGGGCTCCTCTCTCCACAGGGCCACAGGTCCTGCCAGGAGCCTGCTCCAGCGTGGGCTTCCCACGGGGTCACAGCCTCCTCTGGGCATCCCCCTGCTCTGATGTGGGGTCCTCCATGGGTGCAGGTGGGCATCTGCTCCACCGTTAACCTCCGTGGGCTGCAGGGCACAGCCCACCTCACCATGGTCTTCACCACGAGCTGCAGGGGAGTCCCTGCTCCAGCGCCTGCAGCACCTCCTCCCCCTCCTTCCTTGCTGACCTTGGTGTCTGCAGAGTTGTTGCTCTCCCACCGTTTCACTCTTCTCTCTGGCTGCAATTGTTCTCCCACTGTTTTTTTCCCCCTGTTCTTAAATATGTTATCACAGAAGCGCCACAACAGTCGCTGATGGGCTCAGCCTTGGCAGTGGGTCCAGCTTGGAGCCAGCTGGCACTGGCTCTATGAGACGCGTGGGAAGCTTCTGACAGAAGCCACCCCTGTAGCCCCTCACTACCAAAACCTTGTCACACAGACCCAGTACAACAACTAAACTGATGGTTCTGGAGCTCACTGGAGGCGGTTGCACTCTGATTTTCATCTTTCTGTATGTCTGTCCTACCTTTCCTATTAGGCTTCAAAAGAAGATGAGCAGGTTTGAACAGTTGATTTGAGTCACTGATAAGAGGAGAATGCTGCAGCTGTGTTTTTAGTCCTTTAGCTAGGCTTCTGTAGGTTATTTTAAATATTTTCATTATTATTAAACAATTATGTATTTTGTTAAAAGAGAAGAATCCAAATTAATATCCCAGAATAGTTATGAGCAGTGCAGCTATGAGAAGCGAGATTTATATTTTACTCATACCCATTGGCTTTTGATAAATTTACTTTATTAGTGGCCTTCCCCTTTTCTGCAGGAGACCAGTAGCACTGAGGGTGGCAGCAGTTCTGTGTGGCAAGATGAGCAAGAGGAAATGCCAACGCTGTCTCCACAGCTGACCAGTGTGATTAAAGATTCCAGTGCTAAGGATTTATTTCTGGAATCATGTATGAACTATTTCAGTGCCTCAGCTTCAGGGGAAACCACCACTGTCGAACAGGAGAAAACAACAGGACCAAATTGCCTAGGAGATGAAGTTCCAGATGGAATCACGAAAGGGAAGGTGTCTAGAACAGTTCTTCATAGGTCCAAAGGTGAAGATGACAGAATTGATTCAGACAGTGACAGTTTAACACATGTAGAAAGCATAAACCTTGAAAACGCTGCTGACACTTGTTCCTGTATTCAGTCAGCAACGAATTCTGTGATGTCTGACAGCAAAAGTGTAATATGTGATCCCATGAAGGTGGCTAGCCACTCAGATGAAGAGAAGCCAGAGAGACTGCAAAACACTAAGGTGACTCCAAAAAGAAAGTCACTGGAGCCACCAGCTGAAGCAGTGGTTGACTTGTGTGTGCTTGATAAGAGGAGAAGAACTCTCACGGAAAGTTTCAAGGACCAAGGGAAGCAGATAAATGATTTTAACTTGCAAATGCAGAAAGCCTTTGAGCAGGTGTTCTATGAAAGGCGTATGCAAGAGGAGCAGGACAGGCTTCTGGCTCTGCAGCTACAAAAACAGATCAACAAGGAGGAAAGGAGCCTTAATCGACAGAAGGGCTCTCCAGATGAGTACCTTCTTCGCACCAAACCACCTCAGTCTGTGAAAGACTGTCCTGCTAGAAAGGGAAGTTCCAAGATGGCAAAAGACTCAAAGGTACCAAAAAATCAGGCTGAAACAAATCACCGCAAAAGTCGAAAAGGTTCTTGCAATGAAAACTGGCAGTCCCCTACCAGAGTCCGAATGAAATCGCCCAGCATCAAGGGAGGAAAAGTTTTGAATTGTGTCGTTAATACCAGTGATGCAAATGATATTTGTTCACTACCTAAGAATAAGCAAAAGACAATTCTTCAGATGTTTAAAAGCTCTGTTGCGGAGTAGATCAACAGAACCACAGACATATGGTGGAATGAAAGTTAAAACCATGGTAATGCTTTCTCCTGTGTTAAGCAAAGCTTCCTGTAAACAGTTCTAAAGTTGTTGGTTTTGAGGGGGATCGCTTTGTTGTATATTCTGAGAAGTGTGTACGCCCCCAGACTTTAAAAAAGTTTAATTGGTCTTTTCTTGACTGCAGCTTATTTTCTGACACTTGCATTTACATAATTTTGAATGTGAATACTGTTAGTGTTTAAAAACAAAAATAACTGATGGTCATATCTTAAAATGAGAATTTGAAGCCTCTTACGGAAAGGATGCACATTCCTTGGTGGAAACAAAAAAAAAAAATCAGTATGTGCTTCCAGTTGTCTGCCTATTGCAAGGTTAAAGCTTCACTAGGCACAACCACTGTTCTGTTAAGTTGAAGCATGTTACTGGAAGTTAGGCTCTTTGTTGAATTGTGCTGTTCACACGACAGTAACTACTCTGACTGCACAATCTTGCAGACACACTTTCCCTCTCCCTCTCATACCCCTTTCTTAGACAAAGAGGGAGAAAACAGGTCGTTCTCCCACTGCCGAAGCCAAGGATCTTTCATAGATGCCAATAGTATAAATGGTTGTGGGCTTGTATTTACCTCTTCATGGAGATCACTTCTGCAGATCTGACTCTCACTGTCATTAGGAAAAAGATACTTTTGTTTTTTGCAACTTTATTCTTGTACGATATTACCTATATTTAGTGCTGTTTAATTTTTGAACTCAAACTGGTTTGAGTCTGAATAAAAGCACATAGTACTAAAAGAATAGTTAGTCCAGAAGACAGTTAAAAAGGAGAAAGTTAAGCCAAAAGGGGGAAAAGCAACTGAATGCTGGAGTTGCCAGTCACGATGTAACTATAATTACAAATTCACACAGATACCATGCCTGGCTGTAACTGTTCCCCCTTTTTTTAGAGGGACTACCAAATACTGTCTCCCAGTTGGTTTTAAAACTAACACCATTCAAAAGAATTACAAGTTAGACACATGAGGAAGCAGAGGCTTGTAGAAAGTTGAGGCTGATGAGGAGTTGCCCAGCAACTCAGCAGAGGAATTATTCTTGCTGGATTGTTTATCTGCTGCTATTATGAAACCATCTTTTGGGCTTTCTCTGCTTTTAATGAGGTACTTTTGTACTGTACATGTTCAAAAGAGAGCAAAGCACCAATCTACATTGCTGAAGTGTGTGTGCTAGTCACCAAAGTTAGCAAAAATTTAAAGGTGTACTTTTTTTGAACCTCATTGATGATCTACACACTTTAACTCAGTTCTGGGAAATTTGTAACAAAATACTTCAAAGCAGTATCTTCTGATGTTTCAAGTTTTAAAAAAACAAAACAAAGCTTGAAATTTTATTGAAAGCATGAACAGCACACCAAACCAAAAACGTGAATTTGGGTTTTTTTCTCTGCCTGCATGTCTCTGGTAATGATGGGTTTCTCATAAATAAATGATCTGTTATAAGATGCTTTTTGAGAAAGTTACAACAGGTGACCAGTTGCAAATCATTCACTTTTGCTGCCTCAACCACTGTGCTGGAAGCCTTTCTTCAGTGTAGATTTGTTTCTGTTTAATCCTTACCTTTGTTTGGGTTATTAATACTTTGTCATATGCAGTCAAATATAATCCTTCATTAATTAAAGTGTTCTTTAAGGCAGAGATATTGACTGTTTTCATGCTAGTGACGCTCGGCCTTCCTAGTCATGATAAGCATGTTTGAAGCAAACTCTCTCTGTTTCAAAACAGATGAGGAGAAAGTTTAGTTTTGAAGTTTATTCAGCCTGGTTTTACAATCGATTTCTGATGTCTGATGTTTATTTTTAACTTGTTCAAAAGATGGTCCCTGCTCTGGCATGGAGCTCCTCTTTCCTAGATCACATCCCCTGACAACTGCTGCCTGTTCTCAAGTACGTCTGAGCAGAGGCACCACGTGGTCCTCTGATTTGTTGCTGTTTCGGTGTAATGGGTTGTTTAGGATTTCAGGGCACGTTGGAAGTGGTTTGGAGTGGTGTGGGGCAGCTCTGGCCTCTTCCTGCACACGTCACCCCTGCAGCCACCTGCTGCCAAAACCCCGAAGTTTATGCCCGATGCAACTCTCTGCAGTTTGACACAGAGTCTGAATCTCAAGTGGTTTGAACTGCTGGCCGTTCATATGTAAGAAATAGTCTGGCATGTATTAAGAATTCTGAGCCTGGTTAGTCGCTGTATTTTTCTCAGATTAGCCATCATTATACTCCAGTACAGCAGTGTTGGCTTTGGGGTTGCTCCTATGGCCAGGCCCTAATGTTTGAGAGAGAGTTGGTGAAAAAGAAAGAAAGGGAAGCATGTGTGGTCATACAGGTAAATAGCCAGGTAAGAGCTAAAGAGCTGAACGGAATGAAGCTAGAAATTAAATGTCTATCGCATAACAGCTTTGATCTTCATTAGGGTTAAACTTAACCTCCTGCTCTCATTGTTTTGGGGCTAGCTCTGTCCCTGACACGAAGTAACATTAGTCGTTAAGATAGGCATTTTGTTTAAAAACCAGTATGAGCTCACTAATTCAGTAGGATCACGTAGTCTTGCTGAGTATACCTCTACTACACAGAGTGAGCTGCCAAAATAGCTCACTGCCAACAACAGGGTTCCTACACTAGTGCCAGCTTTGGCACTCAGGGACTCCCCACAGTCTAATTCCAGATGCTAAAGGGGTAGGGGAAACATCAAGGGGAGAGAGGGCAAGGGAGAAGGGAGAATTTCCCTTCCAGGCAGCAATGCACCTGCAAGTAGCTGAGCTGTACACGAAGCCATGTCCCAGTGTACAGGATTGCTGCATTTAACACCACTTTAATTCCCTTTTCCTCCACAAGCTGCTCTGTGGATTCTTTCTTTTCCCTTTTAATATGCCAATGATGTGTCTCTTCCATACAAGGTTTATGAAATGCACTGAACTAATCCCAGTTAGAAGTTCGATGGAGAGGGGAGGTTTTCGCATCTTACTCTTCAGTCCAACGCTGACTTGCCATCTGTGTGAGCCGACGCAGGCAGGACACGGGAACAACCACAAAACCACGGATGAAATGCAAAGAGTGAATTTATTCCCGTTACCTCACAACCCAGGGAATCTCTGCAGCAGCACCCACGCAGAGGCACACAGACGGGGATGCGGGCACCGTGGAGCTCCGTCCTTGCTAGCCAGAAAGAGGAGAAGAAAGACAAGATCTTGAACCTGCTGCTTTCATGTGTATATCGGGGATTTTCACAGTCGTTTTCCACCCTGTTTTGATCTTTCCCACAGCAGGGCAGGAATCTCAAGGATGTTCGATAAGGTGCCTCTGCGTCTATCACAGGGCTGTTATCTAAATGCAGACGTTCTACCCCTCAAGCGCACAAAGCCAAACCACAACTTGTGTGATGTACCTGTTTTTTGACACCCCAGCTGTAAATTACTTGAGCGTGTTTACAATCCTCCTTACCAATCTTCTGTTGTATTCCCACACCATCAATAGCAAACCCTGCTGCTGTGATTCCATAGAAAATAAATACAAAAATTACAGAAATTTTAGCCATTTCAAAGGTCTAAATAACACAGAAGTGTATTTTGGTGTGTATATATTGGAGGGTATGTTAAAGTATTTGGGGGTTATTTGTTTTTCCAACTTACTGGATTTTGTCCTCAGTGTGAGAATGACCTCTTACATGAGAATCTTCTTCTTGTTTGTAAAACAGAATGGGAAAAGAAAGCAAGACTAAGAAGTTGATCATTAGCTAAAACCCAATCTTAACTGCAAAATCTGCAAAATCTACAACTTATACCAGCAGCCTTATCCAAGGTGGGGTACTACAAACCCTCAGGTCCCAAAGATGATCACATTCCTCACTGAGTGCATGGCAAATAATCCTTACCAGGCACCTCTTTGGCCTGTTCTTTTAGATTTTTCTTGTTAGAGGGTGGAATGTGGCCAGTGCTGTGTGGATTTTGGTTGTACCAACACCCTGTTTCCATTGGTACAATCCGGGAACTCTGAAGCAGGTGAAATCGGCTTTGACAGGTTTAATGGTATTTGTGAATCCAGAGTCTGTACTTAGCCTGCCTGAGCCAGTGTAATGGTTCACTGCTGCTCAGAAGGGTGAGCTCTCCTGCCTTCAGCTAGTTCTAGTGGCTTATTTGTCCACTTTGTGAATAAATACAGCTCATCCAACTGCTGGGAAAAAAAAGCAAGTACCAAAAAGCCCAAATACTTTAACAGGCTTGGTCGCTTCTCTGAGAGCCAGAGCTGGTGTGGGGATGAGAGGTAGGGAGAGGAGCAAGAGAGGGAACAGATCTACCTGTTTTCATGGCAGAAAGTTTTAGAATTCTTAGACTTTAAGGAAACCTCTGCTTTGTGTGGTACTCACTTTGGTAGGTACTTGTTAATGGTAAGGTACTCTGCATCACTCCAGCCTGCACACGGTGTTGGCAGCAAGCCAGCCACATGCTGTGTTATGTTGTGAAACAACGGGAAGTAGTAAAACGTTCCTTTTCTACAGGTGCGATTTCTGCAGTTAGCGTAAGAATCAAAACCACCCAGCATGCTTGTTGTTGAGGGTTTTCCTCTTCTGACTTTGAAGAGCCGACAGCGAAAGTATCCTGATAGCAAGGGATGCCCTGCAACGGGCTCCCTTGACAGGCGCAGCCACACCATATCTTGGCCACCTTGGGCCCTGCCTCCTCCCTTGAAGCACCTGTGGCCGCTGTACACGCTCGGGCCTGAGGGCCGAGGCCCGCCAGACCCCTTGCTTCGCCGCAGGCGTCGGTGCCACGGCCAGCCTGCGTGGAAGCTCTTCCCTCATGTCACGAGTGTTTCAGCACGGAGGTTAAGGCACCTCGAGTCCTGCCCCTATTGAAAGGGGAGGGTCCGGAATGTCGGGGAGAAAAGCGCGCCAGTCGCGCCAGCATTTGAAAAGCCGCGGCGGGGCGGGCCGCGTTGCCACGGCAACTCCCGCCTCTCCGCGCCGCTGAGGTGACGGGGGCGGGGCCGGTCGCGTTGCCACGGCAACTCCCGCCCCGCCCCGCCCGCGGCGGCGCCTCCCCGGCGGCGGGCAGAGGAAGGGCGCGGGCGGGCGCCGCGCCTGCGCAGAGCGTGGCGGGCCGGCGGCGTGCGTGTTGTTGTGTCGGCGGCGGCAAGATGGCGGCGCACGGGGGCTCCGCGGCCTCCTCGGCGCTGAAGGGGTTAATCCAGCAGTTCACCGCCATCACGGGTGAGGCACACGGAAGCCGGGGCCCGCGGAGCTCGGCCCAGGGCCGCCGTCGCCGCGTGCTTAACGGGCGGCCTCCCCCCTCCCCCGCCGCCGCCGCGGGCAGAGGGGCGGGCCGGGAGGCCGAGCGGGAGGAGCGGGCCGCGGCGGCGGGCGGCCCCGGGCACGCTCCCCCCGCCGTGTCCCTGTGAGGGCCCTCCCGCTGCCGCCGCGGCCTCCCGAGAGGCGAGAGGCACCGGCCGGGCCTGTCAGCGGCCGCGCTCCGGGGCCCGGCCCGCCGCAGCGGGAGGTGCCCGAGGCCCGGGCTGGGCACCCGTGGTGCCTCCGCCCCGGGCGTCGCGGCGTCCCCTTCGCTTTTTGCGGCGGCTTGGAGGGGTCTCTCGGCTGTCCCCGGTGGCGCGGGTGGGGGTGCTCCCTCCCGGCGGTGCGCTCCGGGGCCGCCCCGCGAACCGCGTCCCGCTCCTCTGGAGAAAGCTGGCGGCCGGGAGGGAGACTGGAGCTGAAGCCGCGTTTAAAAAAAAAAAAACAAAAAAAAACAAAAACAAAAACCAAACAGCTTAAAGTGAGAATTTAGTTTGCTAAAGAAAATATCAAGTTGCTTTTAAATTGAAGTATGCAGCAGGTGACAATCCCGGCTTTGGCTTCTGTACTTTGAGCACTTGACCCACTTCGTGCTTAATCTGCTTCGTGATAGTTCCCCCCTTGCTTTTGGCATGACGTATCAAATCATGAGGGAGTGTTTAATAAAACTGCTTTGGCTTTTTGCTTGTCATAAGTGAAACTGCTTTGAATTCCGTTATTCTGACCAGCTCAGCTTAACGTTGTGTTGCTGTATTTGGGCTCGGATGTGCTCAAATCCTGCCTGGGGGTGTTGAGGGTGTTCAGTACACTGAACGTGCCGGGAGGGTACACCAGAAAATTATTGATCAGCTAGTTGTCCTTCAAGAAGCAGTTTAGAATAAACCCTCTGAATAAGAACAACCTACAGCAAATATGTTTTTATTATAGTATGTGCCTTGTGTTTTCAGTTGGTGCCTCAGGTATTTGCTAAAAGCTGAACCAGAGCAGGTGGAGATGAGTTTGCTCTTCCCGACAGCTTTTTGTGCTTATACGGATGGCTTATGCTAAACATAAGAGCACCCCTCATAGGATTTCACAGAGGAAAAAAACCCCTGCTGGCTTCACCCATCCACTATTAAAGTAGAGTTTTGAAGTTGTTTTTTTTTTTTTTTTCTCGTCCATTTTAACAGCATTTAAGGTTAGATCTAAAAGTCTGTTGTGGTAGAGCTTGTCTTGCCAATTCTGGCATGATTTGACAGGTGCTCAGAAGCACACACCCTCAGTGGTTTGTGTTAGCAGCTTTCAACTTTGAGTTGTAAGTGTAGGAAATCACTCCTGTCTGTGGGGAAAAGGCTGAATGAATACTGTACAAGTGGTTTGATTCTAGCACAGGTGATAGTGAGGAATGAGGAGAAATAGTCCCTGATACATTTCTCTTATCCAGACAGCAGAATTGTGTTTCTTTGCTCTCATCCGGAAAAGCGTTGCTAAGGGAATGTAGCTCCTCTGTATCTTTACCAGTGAAATTATGGGATCTCTGTGAAATTTGCTGTGAGACACAGAAAATATTTAGTGTTTTCTGTTTGCCAGCACAAGCACTAAAAACATGCATGTGATGGCAGTTTCCTTAGGAGTAATGGAGAATCACGAAGAATCGGTACAAGCACTTTCTGTGTTGGTATCGCTAAATAGCAGAGGATTGAATATCATTTTTCTTCTAGTTCTTCTAAGTGAGTGACCTCACGTGACTGTACAGTGAGGTTGTAGGGTAGTGTGTGTATTCCAAACTACACAGGTATTGTTTAAGTGCTACTGTTGATGTTGAAATGAGCTGAAAATGCCAAAGAGCAGTTTGTCTGAAGAATGCAAACTTGATGCTCTCGCGTCATTTTTTTGAGATGCCACTAGTTTTTTTTTTTTGTGCTTTTTTTCATCTCGGTTAAGGTCTTAAAATACAGCTGACGGCCATCCAAGTACACTTGTCATGGCAGGTTGTTTTTTTTGGAAACCACTTCCCTCAGTCAGTTTAGCTTTGTCCGTGCTTTAATGTAGTGGTGCGGGTCATTTAGAACTGATTTATCTCAACAGTTTCAAAGTGTATTTTCTGTTCAGACTAGAGCTTCTTGAATCTTTCCCAGAAAATCCGAGAAGTGTCCAAATGTGTTTTGCCCAAACTCGTGTTACCTGTGATCTGATGCTGGGGAAAGTGTTTTCTTTGTTTTGGTGACTTGCAGTGAACCTAGTAAGAATTACTACAGATCTAAAAGCTACTCCCAAACTGGTTCGGCTGCATTTTGCCACTCTTCTTCTCTACCAGCCCTTCCCATATGAAAATAAACTCTTTGGCAGCCCACCACCTAGATAGATAGATGCTGTAGTAGGTAGACATTTAAAGGGTTGAGTGCAGGAGAGCTTCCATTGATGCTTCTGCTGATGGTGTCTTTTTTGAGAAGTTGGGAGGCAGAGGCTGACCCTCTGAGGAAAGAGTTCCAAGTGATGCTAAGAACTGCTGTTTCATTCTGAGCAGCAAAAACGGCACCGGATTTAGTTGCACTTAGAGATTTTAATATATTTTAGTCATTATACAAATAACCGTGTAGACATGTGCTTTTTTTCTCCTGTCTTACGTGAAGTGAGCTTCTCCTGGTTTGTTTTTGCCTTTGAGCGCAGTCAGTAAAGCAGGATATCTTTTCTTCCCTCTCTAAATATCTAAGTGGGTACAAAATTTTAGCAGCTGATTTAATATCCTCCCTGTTAAAATATTAAGTCAGGTTTTAATTTTCTTTGTGTGTGCCTACTAGTGTTTGGAAAATCATACTAGGAAAAGGTCTGACTTCTAGAATAAAAGAAAAAGCTGTGCTAAAGCCCCTCATATGGCTTCAGCTAAGTTTTCTCTTGATGGAAGGAAGAAGTCTGGCTGTCCTATATGCAGGCATTCCCTTTCCCTGTGAGATATATATGTTTGTCTTGTTTCATAGTTGTGCTTCAGAGATAAATGATAACTGATGAACTGCTCTTTCCAATTATTAATGCCTTGAGAGAAGAAGCTTGCCAGTCAGCTGTTCCTAGCATTTCCAATCAAAATGCTTTCCAAAGAATGCTTTAATTTTTCTTTGGCATTACAGGTGCCAGTGAAAGTGTGGGAAAGCATATGCTTGAAGCATGCAACAATAATCTGGAGATGGCTGTCACCATGTTTCTGGATGGTGGAGGCATAGCAGAGGAGCCGAGCACCAGTTCTGCAGGGGTGTCTGCTGTTCAGCCGCACGCTGAGTACGTACCTGATGAAGATGTCTGTATAAATGAGTAGTCTGTCTTAAGAATGTAATAGTGCAGGGCAGAACAAATAAGGTAATTGTCCCTTCTAACCTGCCGTCAGCTCACTGTAATATGTGCTGCTTTCATTATCTTGTTAAATTGATTGCTCTAATGTTGTTCTGGGTAAATAACCTCTTACTACCTAAGTTGGTATGTAGACCAACACAAGTTAGGCACTCTTGCATGTACTTCAGAAGTTTTCTGTAGCTTTTAGATACTGTTTTTTTTTTGTTTGTTTTTTGTTTTTTTTTTTTTTCAAACAACCCAAGACATTAAAGTGGGGATGCAGTAGTAAGAGATTCTGATTTTTAAATTGCTCCAACAGTCTTGCTTTACATTAATTTGACAGTTAGAGAGTTCTGTTATGGATCTTATCAATGTAGTGACCTTAGTCCCATTTGTAAGGGTTTGTAACTGTGTTGTTTTAACTGTAATCAGATTTGGCACTGGAAAGGCTAGATTGTGTGTACTAGTATGCAGAGAAGTAAGCAACTACAAAATCTGCATCAGTGTCATACACATCAGATGCCAATAAAGGGAAGAGTTGTTCTGCTTGGGCAAGGCAGAGAGTCTTTCAGTGCTGCCTGTTAATTTGTCTGGTTGGGATAAATGGAATGTTTTGAGTGGAAGCTAATTGGTGTAAGTCACCTTCGTTAAATGTTCTAAATTAAACCTAGCCATGCTTTTGTCTTTATGAAAATCTTCTACTTCAGGAAAAAGACAACTAACGTTTAAAGAAATTTCTTGCCACTCAGACTTCTGAAGCACATGTGTAAATTTAACAGTTCTTCTAGTACTAACCTTTATAGTTGATGTCAAGTGCCTTCCTGCTTGAACCTTTGACAGGTAATGAAGTTAAAACTCTCTATCACTGTATAGGTGTTTAGAGTTCTTATTTCTAGACAACTTCTGGCACATCAGTGACTTAAGATTCAAGTTTTTACTGGAATCCTTTCTTTTTTATACTTGACACCCTCCAGGTGCTGGTCAGCTTAGTGTTACTTCTAGGAAGAGAGAACAATAAATATGCAAATGCAAAATGGAGAATAACTAGCTTCACAACAGCAATCAAAGATGTGGAGGTTAATAGCAAGGTTAGTGCATCTTGCTGACATTATGAGTTACTTTTTTGAAACCTGCGTGGCCAGGAGCCACAAACCGCACGGTTTACAACTTTGAGGAGTCTGCGAGGGAAGAGGGCTCGTCAGGAGTAGTTCATAGGCAGGATACAGCAGTGGGTTTCCTTGGGTGAGCCCATGCCCTCCTTCGGGTAGGTCCGTGGGCCAGGCGACCACACTGAGTAAGTGATACTGTTTCAGAGCTCTTGCGATTTCCTTTCTTCTCCTAGTCATAATTTCAGATTTTCTAGCAGTCTGCAAGCGTAACTAAGGCGGTGATATGTGAGGGAGCCCATCTATGTAAGCAGAGAGTTGCTTCAGAAGCTGGGGGAAATGGGCATCTTGACCATCTTGTTTCCTTCCTCTGGAAAAGAGAGGGCTGTGAGTTTCAGGTGGAAGCAAAAAGTCTTCCAACAGAAGAAAGCTGGTAATGAGGATAATATTTTTTTTCTTTCTAGGACTCTTTCTAGATAATCAGGGGAGGAGGGTGGCAAGTGGATTAATTAGCAGCCTTTGCTAAGTTTTAAGAAATTTTTCAAGTTCTGAGGAAGTTATTGAAGAAGAAAAAATGTTTAAATAGTAAATTGGCAAAACCTGGGATCAAGTTAACCAGGGATTTGTGTAATCTTCTGCCAGGATTTACATCCATGCCAGATCTTGATGCAGAGTGTATTAAGTCCTGCATCAGTGCCATGAGTGGGAATAGATGGTTTCCTAAGGTCCCTTTTGACCCTAAATCTCTTGATTCTCTGCAGTGGTACGGAAGCATCCTTAGGTGGTTCAAGTTGCAGGAGCCTTTGGAGCACAATGGGATGTGGTTTATATAGTACTTGCAGTATTGTCATCTCTCTCATTTATTTTTTTTTTCTTTCTTCCCCTGTGATAGGGATGAAGTACGAGCTCCAATTCCTCAAAAACAGGAAATTTTAGTAGAGCCTGAGCCCTTGTTTGGAGGTAGGCTTGTGTTGTTATTTTGCTTTTTTGTTTTCTTTACCTTGAGATGAGCTAAATGACAAAAGAAAAACAGAACTTGCTGAATATGAAGAAAGCATTGTATGTATTTTTATTTTTGTTTTTCTTTATATTTTTTTCCCCCCTGCTGCGACTCTGCAGCCGTGTAACATGACTGCATACTTGGAAATAACATCAGTGTTATTGAAAACCTCGCACATTAGAGATGCTACATTCCCAGTGGTACTAATTTGCTAAATCCTGTTTCATGAGATTTTGTGAGGCAACAGCCAATTAGCTATGATAAGTATACATCTGCATTCTGGGGGTTCAGAACCAAGCAGTACTGCTGTGAAAGTGTTCAAGGTGATGGGATAAAAGATTGAGCCTTGACTGACAAGTGAAAATGAAGAGGACAAATGCATGCTTCTCAAGGAGATGATAGATCATGAAGAAGGGCTGAAGTATATGATTACACATCATTTTCTCCATTTCTCATTTAGGAATGTAATTTGCTCTTTAAATTGCACCACACAGCTAGTTTTCTTATTTGTTTTCCGAAGCTGTTTACCACTTTTGCTTTTGAAACATTTTTTTGCTCTAAGGAAACAAGTGATAGAAATGCTGTTTTCTTTTGGGTACGTATCTAACCCACTGTTTAGTACTCCTGTAATGCACTAATGTTCTGCATCTCAAAACCTCAATCTCAGACCTCTGCTGTAGTGGTTCTTTTACAGCAGCACAGGGGTGGAACTTCCCTAGCAGGACTGGATTACCTGGTGCATTATCCTCTCCTTTTGCACAGTGTCCATGTCTGTATATGGAGACCTAAGGTTCTCTTTTTATCCTTACTTCCTCCAGCCTTGTGAGGCTCTGTCCTTCTCATGTTGACCAGCCCATTTCTGGCTGTTCCTACAGCTTTTGCCATGTCAAGTGGATTGGGAGTCTTACTGTTTTTATCAAGGAAAGGCATACAAAGTGCTCATCTTTAAAGTGATCTCACACCCATAGAAAAATGCTCTTTTCTATTGTTTAATTCCTGTGATAGGAAGGAGAAGGCCAAGCTTCAGTTTTACCCTGGAACTGGTTTTCTCTTGATCCATCTTTTTTGACATCAGAGAGGTCTTTAGCCAGGATGCATCAGCTGAGACGTGGTTCCAGAGGAAGGTGCCCTGCTGAGAGCTCTCTGAAGACAGTGCATTCCTGTGGCCCAACAGGGTATTTGGCAGAGGTCTGTAAACTCCTGTGGGTTCAGGAATCTAAGAAGTGCAAGATTAAGACTTGCTGACACTAATGCTTAGTCCTCTTCTGCCCACCTGTCACACACAGATCTCGGACTCACTGTCACTAACTGCCCAGCTGAGGTGATCTGTGCGTCAGTGATCGCCTCCTGGCACGGTGTGGTCCAGCCAGTGCTGACATGCTCACTAATGCCACTTCTGTTCATAACATGAAGCAGTCTGACAAGCTATCTGAAACTGGAGAGATACTTCAGTTGGGCTTTTCAGCTCTAACCTCAAAGCAGGGGGTGTGCCAGTTACTGGTTTTAACAGTGTCAGATTGAGGTGGTCGTATGAGCTTAGGTTTTCCTCCAGTTGAAGAGATGACCCTGTCTATTTATGCTCTGCCCGGTTCATGGATCCCATCTTGCTGTACAAAGAGTATCAGAAAAAGATCTACCTGGGCTGCTGTGAACATCTTTGGCAGCACTGCCAGGCAGTAGCTAAGCCTGGCAAGGGAAATGCTGGTTTTGCTGAAGTGGTCCTTCAGTTGCTATTCTTAGCTGCAGTTAAAGTTGCTCTGAAGTTGGCTTTAATGGGTTGTGCTTCTACCTGAGCATTTAGAGATGAGAGAGATATTGTTTGAGAGGCATTATTCAGAAGCATGCTCCTCATTCAGGCTTACTTTTTCTGTGATAGTCTGTATTGGATACACTGATTCTTTCTCTCATACTCTCTATGAGAAGAATGCAAGGAACTGGAACTATGTACCATTCTTTATGCCCTTGGTGTGGCACAAAGTGAAAGGTAAAGATGCCGCATGCACTATGGGTGCAAAACCAGTAAAGATGTCTAAAAACAAGTTTTGGAGGTATTTGCTTTGACGTCTGTATAGGTTATGCTTTCCCAAAGTAAATGGATTTTTCTTACTACAGGTTTCTGGTGGGTATATGTTGTATTTATCTTTAATTTGTTTATTACTTATGTCTTGTAACAATTAGGCTTTGAAGGTTCTATCTTAAAATTGTTCTGCTTTCAGTTAATGATAATGCAGATGAATAGTTGGAATAAGTCTTGGCAGGCAGTTCTAGTTTGCATTCCAAGTACAGCGGCTGAGCTGTACTGTAGGACTTCAGTGGTACTTTTAAGTACTATTCCAGTTACCTGCCTGGGTTGCTCTCACTGTTCAGCTGCAGATAATCTATTCTGTAGGTTTCCTTGCAGATAGTGATACTGGATGCAATGTAAAAAGCCACGCTCTTCCATTGGAAGGATTTAATCTTTGAAAGTTTTTCCATCTACTTGAAGGCCTTTGGTGAAAACCTTGACTGGAACTGTGACATGTTGATGCTGGAACAGCTCTGTCACTACATACTGCTGGGCCTCAGTGAGCCCATCAGAAAGGGCTAACTTTAAACTTCTGTGTACTGCTGATACATGTTTGGTTTCTGGGGTAAAATTTGCTGGAGGGAGGATATGTTAGGAAATGGGTCTTACACACTACCTATTTCCATCCTCCTCCAGCCCTTCCTAATGACCTTACTCCCACATTATTCATGCTTTGTGTTCCTATCCTGTTTTCCCCCCACATATGATGGAAAATAGTAATATGTGATTATTTTGATAGTATATTTTTGAAATAATTCTTGAAATAATTTTTTTTTTAAGCTCCTAAAAGACGCAGACCTGCGCGCTCAATATTTGATGGCTTTCGGGATTTTCAGACAGAAACCAGTAAGTGTCTACAGATCAAGAAGCTAGAGGTTCTATTTTTTTGTTAATGCAATTAGGGTTGAAAAGTAGTTTCTGTTGTAGGGTAGGACAGCTTTCAGTTGTTGAGTGGTTTTAAATTGCCTACTGTATAGCAGAAGGTTTTTTAAATAACATTACTAGGCTGTTCATTGTTGTAGTGTCAGGACTGTTTGCTGACATGTCTCTTCCACGTTTGTGGTACAGTTAAGATTGTTAGTTTATTGTTCTGGGGTGGCTGAAGGGAGAGTACTGAGTAATGGACATATGAAGAAGGTAGTGAGGATGCTGGTCCAAACACTAACCTGTGTTACAGAAATAAAATCTGCAGGCAGTGTATTCTGTCTGCTTTTTGGTATGGCAAGTATTTTCTTGATAACTCTCAAAAAAATACTTTTTCTGCTCTAGTGGGAATTGAAAAGGAGGAAGAATCTTACACCCATGTAGAAATTAAGTTTATCCACTGAATTTTTCTTGGCTAGCCAGTGGCCATTCTGGCACTTGAATTAGATTTGAGTAGCGCTGAGGCTTCTTCATTGGCCGCGCACAAGGTTCTTGTGAAATTAATTGCTGTTTACCACTGTCTTACCTGTTCACGTGCAGGATCTCCAAATGACAAAGCGTTGGCTGTTAAGCCGTTAAGTTTCATAGAATATGATTCTTTGACAGCAGAACACCAGATATTTCACAGCTTAGTTAAAGTTGTTGTGCAGTTGTTATTGCTGATATTGCTGGAGTGTTAAAGAGGTCTAACCGTGGATCAGGGTCCCACATAGATAGGTGCTCTTGGATGCTGAACTGAAAAGAAGTATTCATAATTACTTTCTTTCCCCTGACAGGTTTGGTCAGGGTTTTCCAGTAATAATGAACTCATCAAATACTAAAGTCACTGGCAGCTGTGTAAATGAAAATACATCATTTAAGGATACGGTTCGTCATATCCTTAAATTTTTTTCTCATCATCTCCACTCTGTTATAAGACATTTAGAGATACCCAATATGTAAAATCATTGTGAAGGCTTATGATGAAACTTTATCATGCTTTTTGGTAAAACTTTAGAGATAAATATCGCTGCCTGGCTATCTCTGAAAAAGCAGCCCTGGCCATGAAAGCCCAGGTTATTTCCTGGCTCCTGGGCCTGCTCCACAGGGATGTTTTTGCACCTGTAGGGATCCAGTGGCTGCTCAAAAATGATTTGTATGCTATGGCCCATTGACAGCTCCTTGCACTACGAGGTTTTTGGTTGTGGAATAGTTATTGCCCATTTCAGCTGACTTGGTTCTGTCAGATACATTGTACTACTTCATTTTTAGGTGAGCAATTGCTGTGATTTACCTTTCTTGTATAAGGTCATGTCTGTGTAGGAAATATGTTCTGTATTATTTTGAATGGAATTGGTACCACTAAAAGAAGCATGTTTGAAGTGTGGTACTTGGTGATAAACAAGGCCGAAAACCCGTTCACTAGAAAGAGGCAGTAGTATCTAGAGCCGATTGTGGGAGGAGTAGATATTTCATATAAACATCCAAAGATACTTCTCTGTGTAACCTAAGTTTGTGTTTTGTTTTGTTTTTTATTTTCTGTGGGATTGCCTTACAGTCAAGAAATAAAAACACTGGAATAGAAATATTCCAAGTAGAAGTTACAATGCTACAGTCTAGCTCAGTTTCCCCTTTTAAAAGCATCACTGGGGACAAGTCAACAGCTTTTTTTTGCTTGTTTGTTTTCAGATACTGGCATATGACCCCTCTGCTGATACTCACATTTATGAAGATGTTTTTTAAAAGTGAAATAAATGCCCAGTGCTTGAGAAAGCTGGGGCAAGTGGGGCTTTACCTTACACAGCAGCTAATCTTGTTTGATGTGGTCTAACCTTATGACTCGAGTGCCAGAGTTTTGTGTATAGCTAGCAATATATCCCTCTTGTGAGTATTTTGTCTAATTCAGCTTCCTTTCCTCTTGGGGCTGTGCAGTTCGACAGGAACAGGAGCTACGGAATGGAGGGGCAGTAGATAAGAAACTCACTACTCTAGCAGACCTCTTCAGGCCTCCCATTGATCTGATGCACAAAGGCAGCTTTGAAACGGTAAGTTTTGAAATTTTGGTGCAGTTCCTTATGTAATGGCTGCGTACAGCGTGCAAGCCTTGTGTTAGGCTGCTGGCATGTATGGATCTATTGTCAGATGATCAGAAAGTTTAAAAAAACATCTAGCAGTAAATATTTGATGGACTGCATATGTAAATGTTGATGACTTATTGAGGCACTTAAGTAATGATGGTAGACCTCATTGTTTATGTTTAAATGTCAGTGGGGCAAATCACGCTTGGTGAAAGGCTTGAGTGCACAAGGGAAGCTGGTCAAAATGGAAAAATTGCATCCTTTGAAGTATCTCTGTAGAGCACGATACAGAGAAAGCTGAAGTAACATTGCTTTTGATAGGTGAGCAAGTACTTTGCAAGGGGCAATGTAGTTTGCAGCATAGCCCTGCTAAGAAGTTCAAGCAAGGTTATGTTAACACAGCTAAGTGGTGTCTGATACCTGAGCTAGCAAATGTGTTTGTGTGGCTTTGTCATGAAGGCACAGCTTTGTTTTCTGTAGCAGTCTTGCTCTTGTATAAAATCACAGTGGTTGTCTTTTGACTCTGGTAGTGATGGAAAAAGTATCCAAGAGATTGTCTGTCTGAGAATAGAACTGTTAGCTTTAAATAATTGCAGGTGTCACCTTTCCTGTCTCTGTATGCATGTGTTGATCTAGTCATAAATTGTTATTATACAGGTCAGTGACTTAACTGGTGATTAGAGAATATGCAAATTGGTATATATTTTTATTTTTTGAGTCCATAATTTCTAGATATTCTCAAAAGTTGCAGTTACTACTGAACTTCCACTTGGTCATCTTTAAGTAGCTGAGATTATTATTGTTATCATCATTATATGATGATTTCATGAGAATGCAAACTAATGGTCAAATGGTGCAATACAGTTGCTGCAAGCAGTGATGGAGACCTGCCTGCATGAGCTGAACGAAAATATTATTTACATTCTTTCCACATTTGCCTCTACTGCCATGCACAAATGTTAGAGCGCTGCTGGAGAGTTTTTGGAGAAGTACTGTGTGCCTTTATTGAGGCCCCAGCTCTCATCCGATTGGCCTCATCTCTCTTTTTATGCTTCCCAAATCACCGGGGATCTGTTGGCTTGTCACTAATTCCTGTATTCTGACAGTACCCTCCATATGTTTAATCTTGTAATGAAATTCCAGGTTTGAAAGGATGCTGACAGGGAATAGCTGTGCCTGCCTGGGCATGTAATTTATTGCAGTGGAAGCAGATGGGCAGACTGAAGTAGCTGGTGCTGAGGCAGCCCTGCTTTGTGATACGTGGTTCAGGGTTTATTTCAAACAAGGTTGTGTCAGGCCCCCCAGCTGATGCTATCTGCTGGGCCAGTGATGCAGAGCTGTTTGTGAACCCAGTGAATGTGTGGTTAAAGGCAAATAGTAAAGGGAATTCACGTGAAAACAGCCAGTGCTGCTCCAGACCGGGATGGATAAACAGTCAGCAAGTGCTCTCTGACCTCTTCTGTGGAATTTGAGATGTGTGCTAGTCTTGCCCTGTGTCTTGCTGAACACATACCAGGACTTCAGCAATGTTGATTGTGGCATCTGCCACAGTCAGAGGTAGTTCCAGAGGATGAAATAACTGATTGCTAGATTTGATTGTCCTAAAGTTTCTGTATTCTTATTCAGTCTTGTAAATTAAAAACAAAACAAAAGAAAAAAAAACCCCAGCAAAACAAAAACCCAAACCCCAAACAAACAAAATGTGAGGAAGAGGGGGAGGGTTTGTACATACACACCTTATCCTATTCTTTGCAGTCACTTGAATCTAAAGACATGTACACTTTCTGGTATTGGTATTCACCTTTTTGTGTTCTTGTACAGTTCCTTGTCCCATGGGATACCCTTAATTTCAAACTGCTGCTCCTCAACTTCATTTCAGTAAAAATCTTCAGCTTCTTAATTTGTTGACTATTACCACTTCCACTTTACCTTTTATGACTTCCGTACTGCTTCAGCCTGGGACAGTGCCAGGCCTCCTGTGAATCCAGTGACCAGAGTCTCTCAAAATTCATCTCTAGCAAGCTGCTGTTAGCTTCTTCCTTTTCTCTAGGCTTAGATAGGCATATATAAACTATATAATGAATCAGAGGTGTTTATCACATTCCAAAGTACCAAAGAAAATACTGTCATGTTGATGCTCTTGTAGTTTAGTGTTAATCTAAGTGGCATTTTCTTGTTATTATTGGTGTGTGGTGTTTTCTAACCTCTGGAGGCAGGGTGGGCAAGAACATTCTGCCAGTGTTGTGCCATGTACATTTATCATAGAATCATTTAGGATTTGTGACTTTATTTGAACTTAGCAAAAGTGGTGGCATATGGTCTTACTAAGGTTTTCATGTGTCTTTGTTACTCATCTTTTCTTGCTCCTCTTTGGGTACTCTAAAGTTGATTTTGATAGTAAGTAGATTTAGTTATCTTTGGTTTTCCCCAAGAAACCTCATTTTTCTTCAGTTACAAAGAAACTTTATCAGTAAGGTGCAAAAAGTTGCCATCTCATTTTAACTCAGTAATACTAGCTTGTAAGGGTAGGTGAGAATTAACTTCCCTCGAAGAGAAATTTTCATCGATTTTTTTTTTTTTTTTTTTTAAATCTTTTTAACTTGCTATCTGTGAAAAAGCAGTGTGCTTCGCATACAGAACAACTCATGGTTACTGTACCTGTAAAGTTACGTGTGTGATTAACTAAATTACACCACAGGAATGTAGTGAAAAAGATTTGATAGAGAAAATCTGTAAAAGACTTTTTTTCTAATCTTGCAAGCTTTTTGAACATGAGATATTATTTGTGACTGGTGGAATGGGGCTGTATAAGCCAGAGGCAAACAACTGGTGGGTCAGTGAGATGTTGAGCTGAACTGCCTTTTTCTTCCTACTAGAAAATGTCAGGGAAACTTTCAGAGCTTACATACAGCGTGTCACTGAAAAGCCAGTTTTTGAGTAGTGTTGTGTAGTTGGACAATGAGGGTGTTGTCAATTAAGATTGTGCAAGGGATTTGTAACTGTCATTTCCTCACTATAATACTGAGCTTTAATGCATGTTAAGCTTCAGAGTTATCTGCTTAATGTAGAATCTGCTAGGAATAAATCACTAGAGTATAACAGAAAAATAAATTGCACACCAAACATGCTTTGTAAAGAACAACATGGTTTTGCTCTTATCTCAGACTGCTTTCAAGCATTGCAGGTGTTCCTCTCTTCATGAATATGATGCGAGATATGATTTAATTTGGGAGGTGGGGGGTACACACCAAAGTGACTTAGTTTGCATTTCTTGCCTAGGGAGGAGGTAGTTCTGGCACATACAGTTCTGTGCTTAACACTCATTAGGATTTCAGTACTTCTGTGAAGTGATTTTATGTAATGTTGCAGAATTTAAAGTCTGTCTGTATGAAGTTTCCTCTTTTCACAAGTTCAACGTTTTTTAGCTGCTCCCTGCTTTACAGCTGATACTAAGTTTTTTTTTCTTTGTACATAGCAAGCAGCAATAGCTTGGAAGCTAATCTATACTCAAATGGTGCAATTATCTTTCCATAAGGTGCTTCTAGACTGGCCGTTTGCATAAGCATAGCCTGCAGATGCACCTTTGACACAGGAATGGCTGGTTGGTGAGAGGATGTATGCCCTGGCCCAGGCAAGAAGTGTAAGTGTAGTAGATAGGATATTTCTTATTACAGATGATCTCATGCTCTGACTTTGTCACCTGTTATCTTCCAAACTGAATCAGGGTTGATTAGCAGATGTCTAGAAGGTCACAAGATGCTGGCTCCACTTCCTTGTTTCTCTCTGCTGACTAAAAGGAGCAGTGCATTTCAACAAAGCTGAGCAAGGAAAAACCACCACAACGTTCATAAACCATACATGGTTCAGAAAAGTCAAATGGGAGGAAAACATGTTATTTTTAGTAGTGCAAGTGCTAGAGATTATCCAGTGAGATCCAGTACTGAGTGTAAAGAAGACTTTTTTCACACATTGTCTTAACCAGATTGCTGCTTTGTTGCTCTAAGTTGTCATAGTGATAAGAAATGTGAATGAGTAGAAGCGGTGAAGGTAAATTTAGGACAGATTGGTTTGGTTTTTATGTCTGGCCTGTTGTATCTGAGATTTACCTCTGTCTTTAAAAGTTCCTACTCTGCTGATTGCCAAAAGCTTGAAAAGAGATGCTTGCAAAGAATGGTTGTTCTGTACTTACCCTATCTGTGTGCTCTTTAAGCGCCTGGTGCTGGCCTTTATACCTCAAAGGAGGAGGAGAAGTGGAGGGCGGTTGATGTTGGAAACAGTGGATCTAAAGCCATCAGACGTAGCTTTTGGGATATGCAAGCCAGCTCTTGAGCCTTCCCTTGTTCTTTTGTCACTTACCAAAATGACCCACCAATATAATCTCCAAACCCACAGCATTTCTTCCCCCCCACACACTCTTTTCCTTCCACCCACCTCCACTCCCCCAGGAAAATCCCAGTAGTTGTGTAAGAGCAGAGTTGTATGTGTGAGATGGTAGCAATTCAACTGTGTCCTTTTAAACGTTAAATGTGAAGCCTGTTGTTTTTAGAAGGAAGTTACAAGTAGTGTCAAAAGCTATACCTGCCCTACAGATGAAAACTCTTTGCAAATGTTCTGTGTGGAATTTCCTGCTTGCATTCTTTCGAGGACCTTAGCTGGATGGGAAGAGAGGTAGAGCTAGGTTTTCACTAATATTGAAAATATACGAAGTAGGTATAGAAGAGTGAGATGCACTTTCCAGCTTTCTAGTTATATATTTTTGAGTTTGGTTTTTTAATCCAATATGGATTACATAAGAACACAAGACTAAAGCAATCCGATTGACTCCAATAACATAAGGATTTTTGTTCCTTTTAAACTTGGGCAGTAACTCAAGGCCTTGTCTTAAACTGATTTCCTAGAATTAGTTCTCAAAATTCGATTAGCTCAAAACAAGTCTTCTGAATAAAAGCTTAATTACTATATTTTAAGACTCTTACCAGTCACTTAGGTGTCACCTGCCCTACTTTCCTCTCTTGGTGACAAAATACTGGATTCTGACACTGTAATATTAGTGGTAAGTAGTTAGCATGAGGTCCTTTGTGAGAACAGAAGGACTGTTCCATGCTTCTACATTTTTTTTTTTCTCCTTTGAGTAAAATAAAAATGGCTCTGCAGGTCACTTGGCCATGCAGATTCATTTTGTAGGCTGAGATTCTTCACTTTGTGAAGCTGAATGTGTGGGGTTCATGTGTTTGTCTATCACACATTGGATAGGCTGACTACTTGGAAGTGCACTGGCTAAAATCAGTTTTAAAAGTAAAAGCTTTGGTTTGGGGAACAAAATATTGCCCAAAACAGCAAAATCTTGCATAACATCCTAATTCCTTGAATTTGCTGTTAAGTGCATTACCAGCAGGATGGTGAACACACTTATAAATAAATATTTTTTTTCTTTTTTAAAAGGAAAGGGAGTTCATATGCTAGTTCCAGTCTTTCCAGGTGGTAAGAGCATTCCTGCTGTTGATATAGCCCTCTTTTTTTCAACAGGTATGACAGTTCAGCGATCAGAATTACATTCTTGATCAAACTCCTACCATTAACTTGCAACCAAGCAATCAGACAGTGCCAGCTTTGTGACTCAAACCAGTAAGATTTCTTCCTGCGCCTTCCTGTCTTCCTCCCCACTTGCAGTCTGGATAACGAGCATCAAAAAAAGGATGCCTAATTTGGCAGTTGCACAGTAATAGAGTAACTCAAAACTTGGAGAGAAAAAATAAAAAAAAAAAAAACAAAACAAAAAACAAACCACAAAAAAAACCAAACCACACAGACAGGGGGTCCTGTTGAATTAATGCAAGTTCGCTGTCAATTATGCAACCTACTTTTAAAGAGAAGATGATCCACAGGTTTATCTTTAGAACGAGCAGGTCTTTCCTCTGTTGTCAGATCAGTGTGATTGACTACACTCTTTCCTGAACAAATACTTTATTCAGCGTGCCCATGTCCCCCCTGCCCCAAGTTGCTTTTCCCACTCTGTGCTTGGCTTGTTGAAATCCAGCAGCTCTGTTCATCGATGTGATTCTGTAATTCAACCAGTCTTATTTAAAGCAGGTCTTTCAGCCCTGCCTTCTGTTTTGTGGATGCCTTTTCACTAGCACTGTCCATCTTTTCTTGCTGTGAAGGGGTTTTGGTGAAAAATCTGACAGTGTTAGAAGCCATCACTGATCATTGCTGGCATTGGTTATGTCTGGCTCTTCAGTTTTACCTAACAAAGCTTTTCTCTCTGCTTACAGGCCAAGGAGTGTGGTCAGATGCAGAACAAATGGCTCATGATAAACATTCAGAATGTGCAAGATTTTGCCTGTCAGTGTCTCAACCGTGATGTCTGGAGCAATGAGGCTGTGAAGAACATAATCCGGGAACATTTCATTTTTTGGCAGGTGAGAAATTTAATGGGGCTGTGCGGGTAACTTGTTGTCCTGGTAGGTGGAGCAGTGAAAAAAAAAAAACAAAAACCAAAACCCACAGTGCACAGTGGTCTTTGAATAAAATGACACTGTTGCAGTTCTTTTGGTGAGCTTACAGAAAAGGTGCACTAGTTCATGGAGATGTAGATATGGACGTAGATGTAGTTCATGGATATGCATTTGAGTGCATAAACTGACTTTCACTTGTGCATTCGGGATGTTACCACTTAGCTTCTAATATGTGGAGGCCTAGAAGCATATTTTCAGCTTGTCAGAGTTACTGAGCACTGTACGTACCATTTGTAGCATATACTGTAAAATAGAGGAGAAAAAATGTACATTTTCAAGGTACTGTTCGTTTGCATTCCCTCTGCACCCAGTAATTTGCTTCCAACGCGGTATTTTGTAGGTATATCATGACAGTGAGGAAGGACAGAGGTACATACAGTTTTATAAATTAGCAGACTTCCCTTATGTCTCCATCCTGGATCCCAGGACAGGTAAGATAAGTGACAGTTGGTTACCTGCAGTTTATATATCCCATGAGAAGGACTGGCAGTTGTAGGCTAAAATACCATCTATTGCAGTATGTGTTGCATTCAGCTGAAGAATCCCAATTACATTGTTTTGCTCTCTGAGAGACCTTGTTGTCCCTGAAGAACTATGTTTTAGAAGAACTTAGGGAATAAAACTCTCTAGGCTTGCTGAAATTTTGTGTATTTAATTATCTTACTTAGTATAGCTTAGCAAGTACTTTGCTTAGAAAGTGAAAATAGTACCACCTGGTGGTAAAACTCTGAAATTAATTTTAACTGTCTTGTTGAAAGCTACTTGAAATCATGTAATGAATAAACTACAATATTAGTAAGCATTGCATGAATTTGCTTCCTGCTCCTTGCACAGTAGCTTTGTGAGGCTCAGCAATGACTTATTAAATTGCCTCTTACTTTCAAAATACCATTTTGGCTTTGGGTTTGGTTGGTTGGTTGTTTTTTTTACCTGAACAGTCAAACTTCTACCTCCCCCTCCAGCTCTTTTGGAATTGTTACTTTTTCTTTTGTATCCTAACACCTTCTTTTATCATCATATAATGCAACTGTAGTAACGGTCTAGTCTCCTGCTTCTCAGGACTGAAGTAATAGTGTCTGTAATTAGAGCTGAGATTTCTTGCTACTTGACTTAAACTACCACAAAACTTTTTTTTTTTAATGTCAAAACTGAAGTTAGGGTACTGCTCTTAGCACTTTACTTATGGAAACAAATGCTCTTTGCCAAAGCGGAGTGTCAAAGCAGACAAGAATGTAGAAATGCTTCTTTGTATACTTAGTGGTTTGGCTTTTTTAAATTTTGAAGCCTAATTCACCATCCTGTGCACACATTCCCATAGATAAAAAGAAAAGAATGGAAATAAATAGGGTCTGTATTTATGTTGTCCGTGATTGAAATCTTTTCAGGGAAGTGGAAGGAGGAAGCTTCGTAATTATCAAGTGGTAGCCTGTAGGAAGCTGCAGTTCCACAAATAGGGGCTTTTGCCGAGTGTACACACAGCCGTGAATTGGTGTGTTTGACTAAGCTGCAGCTTTTTGCTGAAATCATGTTTCGTGACACCTTTTGTTCCCTAGGCCAGAAACTAGTGGAGTGGCACCAGCTAGACGTGACTTCTTTCTTAGACCAAGTGACTGGGTTCCTGAGTGAGCATGGACAGCTGGATGGCCATTCTACCAGCCCTCCCCAAAAATGCTCTCGTTCGGTAAGTATGAGGCCCTCTTGGAGGGCTGGAGAAACCCAAAAGAACATGCTCGCCTGTCTTTATCCAGCTGTACTGATTTCCCACTCAGTAGGAAAAACATATAATAAACAGACTTAACAAGTTAGTGCCAGAGCATGCAAAAATATGGTGTGCTGGCTGGGGAATGCCTTCTCCCATGATAACTTTTTCCTTGTGCAGTTTGTGTTTTTGGCATTTGTTTTGGATTTAAGTCATGGAATTGTGCATGTGTGGAAGGAAAATATATCACTCCATGCGAAACTCCCAAGGAGAAGTTACTAAAGTAGTCGTGGCAGGACTAGCTTTCCATGCTGCTTGTTCTAAAGAGAAGCTACTGAAACTGTGAGGAGGACTGATGTCCTCTTGGTTTTCAGTACCTACTTCAAAGCAATTTTTATGTATTTGTGTTATGTCTGTATTCAACAGGAGAGTCTCATTGATGCCAGTGAGGACAGCCAGTTGGAAGCTGCTATCAGAGCCTCGTTACAGGAGACGCATTTTGATTCCTCACAGGCCAAGCCGGAGAGTCGGTCAGATGAGGAGTCAGAGTCAGAGCTTTTTTCTGGAAGTGAAGAGTTTATTTCGGTTTGCGGATCGGAGGAGGAGGAGGAATCGGAGAATCCTGCCAAGTTGAGGAAGTCTCCACACAAGGACTTGGGGTATAAAAAAGAGGAGAGCCGGAGGCCTCAGCCTGAACCCCCTGCAAGGACTGAGCCTGGGACAACATCAAATCACAGGGTACTGCCCTGCATTGATGCAGGGATACTGGAGGAGTCCACTGACAAGCCTGAAAGTATGTTTCAGGGCCTAGATGTGAATGGTAAGTTGCCACTTCTTTTTTTTTTGTTTGTTTGTTGTGTTTTTTTTTTTTGTAGTGACCCGTGTTTTTGTTAGCTGCTTTTTTTTTTTTCCTGAAAATCTTTATATGCTGACAAGCACGGTTTCATCCCTTGTTTTGAAAAGCTGAATCTTTTCATCTGTCTTCCTCCCTCCTTGACACCAGATAGCTGAGCAGTTCACCTTGCCAGCAGCACCACTTTGGCATAATGATACCGCAAACTGTAGAATCATGTTAATCACCGAGATCAGGCTTCTCAGTTTGAGACCTTGTCTGTGAATAAAGTATGCATTGGTGGAATGCAGGTGTGTATGACAGCTTCTACCAGGGTGGTAGAGAGAAGCAGAATAACATCAGCCCCACGTTGTGCTCAGTTAGCTTGGCTACCTTGCTTGGACTGAGTTTTAGTAATGCAACTTTGGTTAATACAAACAGGTCCCTGGAGTCTGTTCCTCCCTGCAGTGCCTGACCTGGGATGCAGCAGAGTGAGGCGGTCTCAAGGGCAGAGGTAGCACAGTGTGCTTTTCTCTGGGAATGCTGACTGGTTTCAGTCACTACTCTTAACTCTGGAAAGAGTCCTGAGTTTGTGTATATTTTAAACACGTGGTAAAGGTGTATCTTTGTATACTGGAACCTTGTATTTCTCTCCAGTCTCCAACCCTGCTATGCTGTGCAGTAAAGTGTGCCACCTAAAATCTACAGAAGAGCTCAATTCAGCTGCCTTGCTGTTTGTTAACTTGTAGTAACTTCCTTTATGCTAGGACCAAAGGCACAGCTGATGCTAAGGTATCCAGATGGAAAGAGGGAACAAATTTCACTGCCCGAACAAGCTAAACTTCTGGTGAGTGGAGTTAATCGGAATCCTTGTTTGAGTATAGGAGAGCTGAAACTGAAGAATTTTTTTTTCCTGTGGTGGCACTATTAAAATTGGATCTAGTGAAAATGGTATATCCAGGGAGTGCTTGCACTGTCACTCTGTTGTGTTTCTTCCATGTCATTCCTCTCTTCTGATCAACAGATTCTGGTGGCTCAGTGTGTTCCCATTACTCTTTGAGTTGCATGTACACTCCAGGGTCTTCCTTAGTCCCAAAACTGCTAGTTTACTTTCTAAAATGACTCTAAATGGCTTTTGCATTAATCATTACATTACCATAACACGTTCTCAGCTCACTCGTTTGTGATATGTTTGTTTTTTTTTTTTTTTCTCTAAATGGGAAAGTCCAGTTGTTGCCCATGGTCAGACAGCAGTAAAATCAAAGGCAAAACTCTTTGTTCTTGTTCTCCCATCTCTCACCGTACTACTACACTCCCTTCTGAATGTGGATGACAGAGCAGACTTCGGAGGAGGTTCTCCCAAAACAAATTTATTACAATACTATTTATTTGCTGTGCTTTAGGTGTGCGTCTCAGCTGGTGCTTTGGGCTTGTTTACCTTGGAGAAGTCAATGTGGATGGAATTTCCATCAAAATCTTGTAGGTGCTTGTCTGGAAACGGTGTTTAAAGAGGTCACTGTATTCCTGTTAGCTGTGAGTTTTCATGATACCGCGGCTGGTTAAGCTCTGTTGAATGTAATCGACCTAAAAGCTCTGCACTGAAGTCTTAGGGAAGGCAAAAGCCCACCTCTGCAGAAGGATCTTGTGCAGGTTTAGGGAGTGTCACATCTCTTATAGAAAATAAGACTATGAGCTAGTCCACAGCACTTGAGAAATGTATGGTGGCTCAAGCTCATATTCTCATCCTTAACTTTTCTGCTTGAAAAAAAAAGTTGCTTTTGTTATATGCCATTAGCTCTTAAAACCAAGCATATGTGGGTAGGATGTAGGCTGCCTGCAGTGCCACACGTGGAGTTCAGGGGCTGAAAAACAAAGACTGAGGAATGGTGGCAGAGCGTTGTTCTTACTGTAGGAACCAGCTTTACTTTCAGACCTTCATTCTGGTTTTGTCATAGCAGTCATCGGTGTATAATCTTTTTCCAAGTACTCTTTTACATCTTAGCTGCTTTTTGGAAGCAGTCTGTTAAATAAAGTTGTGTGTATTATAAACATGTAGCACTTCTGAACTTTTGCTTAACTTATTTAGGTGGTACACAGGTAATATTGATATATTCCTGATAATTCTGATTCATGGTTTGACTCCTCTTACGGACTGCAGTAGTTAAAGGAAGTTGTTATCAGCATGTGGTTTCCTTTGCTGCCGCCTGCTCTACAGTCAGCAGGGGAATTTAGGTGAGTCAAGATTTGTGGGTAAAGATATCTTTTTATTGCAGAGCTGGACAGGTAGCTTTTGTGCTCATGTCAGGTGATCTTTTAAAGCCATTTCAGTCAAATCAAGATTGAGTCTCAGATGTTTCTTTGTGAATGTCATTTCCATGCTGATTTTTTTCAGCCTTTAGTTGTTTCCCTTTTAAAGCTGGCCAGAACTATAAAGAGAGATTGTTTAGGGAGGCAGATGCACTTCAGAAGTTTTAACTGATGATATGATGTTGCTCTCCCACTACTTCTGGCTGGTTTTTAAAACTCTCTTTTTTTTTTAATAATTGCATTGTTATCGATCAAGAGTGGCTTCTTTACACACTGTTATCTCCAGGATGTGTTTACGCTTCCAATATTATCGTAATCCCTTTTTTTCCCCCAGGCTGAAAAAAAAAAAAAAGGCAGCACTGCCTTTTGATAGGAGCAGTAGCTCATTGTGTGCAATTTAGAAAGCTAACTTCACTCTGCTCAGCAGCTCAGCCCTTCCTCTGCACCGCTGACTGATGGCCCAAATAACTTGTGTTTACCAAGTGTTGTAAGGTGTGCAGGAAAAGCTAGCCTTTAAACGGGATGGGGGGGAGATGCGGGCAGTAAATTTAACTGAATTTTTCAGTACGGTCGTTTGTAAAGGAATTTTGATCATCTTTGTTGCCCGAAAAGGAGTCAAATCCACTTACTTGCATTCCTCATCAAACTCAGGGATTGTAATCTGGAGACTGCTGGAGAGCAGTCCAGGTAAAAGAGGAGTTCGGGGCGACAGTCTCCTCGTAACAAAGGTTTGTGTCTGGATTTTGATGAATTTGGAAGAAATCTCTGTGCAGTTATTTCCCTGGCTGTTCTGCAGTCATTAAATCTTGGAAGAGTCCAGCTTGAAAAGGATCCCTGGAGATCATCTGACCTTAACCCTCTGTTGAAAGCAGAGCTGTAGATGGGATTATCCAGGACCCTCTCAGACTGAGTCTAAAATATTTCCCAGCAAAGGACATTCCACCACTTCTCTGGGAAACTTACTCCAAAGTCTGGTTTCTTTTGTGATACAGAATTCTTTCCTTATATCTAGATTAAATTTCCCCTGGGGCAATTTGTGTGTGTTTTTTCTTGTCACTCTGCATCTTTCTGAAAGAACTGCCTTTATCTTCTTTATATTGGAACACTCTGATGATACTCCCACCAAGCCTTTCTAGGCTGATCAAATCCAGGTCCTTCAACCTTTCTTCATGTACTGAGGCACGTCCCATACTCTGGTCATTTTGATGGCTCTCCACTGGATCCTCTCCAGTTTTTCCTTGTCCCTCTTGAATGTGGAGATGCCAAAATTGAACACAGTATTCCAAGTGTGGCCCAGCTGAGTGGTGTAATTGCAACCCTTGATCTACTGGTAATACTCTTGATGCAGCTCGGGTTTCCTTTTGCTGCTGCAAGGGCACGCTGTGTAGACATGTGTTGAGCTTTCTTGATGAGGTTTTGACAATCTCTCCATAAGACCCTGGATCTTGGCTCTAGGCAAGCAACAGGCCTCTAAGACTCAGTGTTAGGTCAGCAGTTAGGTGCCCCAGTCCCCTGCAGAACGAGTTCCCTCCACCAGCATGCACTGCTTCTCCCTGCTGGTTTTGACCTGCTGAGTAGGACCAGTGGGTCCAGTTGTGTCTTCCAGTAGAACTTGTTTGTCCTCCACGAAGACTCTATATTGTTTTTTCCACCAATTTTTATTTTTTTTTCCCCCCCCAAATGACAGGAGAGCTACTGTTTTGCTGCCGTAGGTCTCCAAGGTGCCTTACCTTGCAACTTGCTGTCTTTCCTGTGTTTGTGTCTTGCTTCTGGTCATGCCACTGTGTCTGCACCTCAAGGCCTCAGTTCTTGGCCCTGGCAGCGTTGCTGCCAGCATCCTGCTGCTTTCCTGCTCGTTTCCCCTGATGCAGCAGAACAAGCTGACCTCTTCCTGCAACTCCTTGGCCTTGCGCTCCGCTTGCATTGCTGCCCCTGAAACGTTCGGGAGAGTGCTGCAGGCTGATTGCAGGAGACCATATCCCCTGTCATGTCAGCACCATAGGACCAACAGCTTTCCTACCAGAACACGAACACCGAAATGAGCAGCCACACAAGTGATCCCCGGAGCCTGTGAGATGTGGCAGTAACTGCTAAGTGCGTGTTTGCAACCACCTTTTTTTTGTGTGCTGGGTCGCTGCGGTCACAGAGTGGCAGCTGAACAGGGAGGGAAGGCTAGTGGAATAATTAGCACCAGTAGAAGCTTAATACTTACCTTCTCGTACTTAATTTACTGGCATAACTTGCCCGCCAAAACTATGTGAACAGTATTGTTGGGACCCCTTTATTTTTTCATACTTTCTGTTTTATTACATACTAATTGTCTTTTCTCTCCTCTTTAAAAAAGCTGCAGCTTCTCATTCTGCCCGAGCCTTGCTCTGTTGCCGTATCCCCTACCATTCTGCCAATCTCCATTTCTCTATGCCTGTTTATTTGTACTTGACACTCTCATCTGCTGTGTTTCTTGATTAACTTGGGAAATCTCTCTCATCGTAGCATGGACGTTAGCTCTTCCTGGTGTGTCTGCTTGCTGGGTTGTGAGGCTGATACCCCTTCATCCCAGTGCCCTCTGTGTCCTGCCACAGTTGCTAATGTAGACAGAGGAGTCAATTAATTGAAAAGAGCTTTAAAAAAAAAACAACACTAAACAACCCCAAAACCCCAAGCTTCTTGAAAACAGAGGGGAAAAAAATCTAGGAAAAATACTGCATTTACTTTTGTCAATGCTACCTCACAAAAATGCTTCTTTGGTGGCTTTTAGGTTTAGTGTAAGTCTGATAAACAAGTGAGGGTGCCTCTATTTTGGAGCACTTAAGGGTATTTTTGCAAGTCTTATTTTACCATGACTTGAATGTGTGATGTGGAATTCAGCTTGCTTGAATTAATGTACTGTTACATATATCTTCCTTCTATTTAAAGAGTCAGTTAGGTACTTAGTTTTTATGATTATTCATACCACGTGTGGGCCAAATTAGATATTAAAGTAAAACAGGGTCTATGCTATATGCAAAATTTCAAAATTTCCTTTGCCTGTGATTACAAACTTCCTTTTTTAAAGGAAAACAGGGTATTTTTAATCATTCTTTTGTGGTGTCTTGAATTATATGACACTTCTTTTGCCTTTCTTTCTCTCCAGGCTCTTGTGAAACATGTCCAGTCAAAAGGATACCCCAATGAACGCTTTGAACTTCTCACCAACTTCCCTCGACGGAAACTCTCCCACCTGGACTATGAGATCACGTTACAGGAGGCAGGCCTGTGTCCTCAAGAGACTGTCTTTGTGCAGGAAAGGAATTAGCACCACGGCTGGGTTCTCCCAGCCTCCCTCCCCTCTCCTCTTTGTCTGGGACACCGACTCATTAAATATGCAGTTGAGGGTCATAGAATTGCAGTGCAGAAATCAAGCAGGCATCTGGCTGGCCCTTCTCTCTCTTCCATTCTCCTGCTCTAGTGACCAAAAGAGTGTTCAGAGTTTTATTTTCTTCCTCAGCTCGTGCCCTGCGGAGATCATTGGGAAGAACATCTCTCCTTTGTTTTTATGGAATAAAGTAAAACAATGATCTGTGTATCCAGTATGCTGGGCTTGGAGTGGCTGTGATACACTTACCCTTTCTCACTGCTGTTCTTAAATCTGTTTTGTTTAATTTATTTTTTAAAATAGTGTGTGATAACGCACTGAGTCATCTATCTGTAAGGAGAGAGTGTAATCTTCAGTCTTTTCCTTTGTTTTGATTCTCTACACAAAAGGTCTCCATTAACCTTACAGCTTTCTCAAGGGTTCACTTATCTAGTGCTCTGCAAAAACTTGGGGTTTGGGAAGAAATTTGGTTGAGCTGTGGTGAGATATTTGGCTGCCATCTAATTTAAAGGGTTCTAGATTGCATGCGTGTGTTCCTGCTGCTTTAAAAGCTGCCAGTGGACATAGTAAAAAAACTAACCAACCAAAATAAAAAAAAAAAAAAAAAAACAAACAGCTATACTCTATATGGAGTTCACTGCTTGGCCCAGAGGGAAAGCTGTGTGTCCGCTGGTGGAGCAGAACTGACTCCTTGGTAGAAGTGGATGAGGTTTCCATTTGTTCTCTTCCCAACATCCCCCCCAAGTGTCGTCTTTTTACTTGCTCTCAGGATTTTGCAAATGATGATAGAAGGTGGCAAGGTACTGTAAAGATCTTGGACTCTCTGGAAAACACCTGTCATAAAAACCTGACAGTTAGTTGGCTTTTTTTTCTTTGCATGGTGTTTTGTTTTTTTTCCCCAGGAGTGACTAGCTTTGCAGGGGTTTTAGAGCACTGACTGCAATTGAGCAGGACAAGTCCTAGGCAGGTTTTCTTTCACGGATTAAAAACATGCACAGCCTCGTCAAACTGTGGAATGAATTAATGCTTTACAAAAGACTTCACGGCCTGGTGGCTTGAACACTCTACACTGCTTTTTATTCTATTTTCATGTTCATCTGCCATCACTTACCTCTAAATCTGGAAGGCTGTATGAAAAACTACTCCTTTATTTACTTTCTTTTCAGCTCTGGAAGCTGGCACCAGAAGTCATGCAGGCATATCCTGTGTGTACACTGGGCAGTGTCTCCTCCAGACTTTGAGCTGTTAATCAGTTGGTGCTACAGTAGGTGTTAAAGTGGGATAAAAGTTAACACAGCCATCCTCAAGGTGGATGTCGAATTTGTGTATTTACAACTGAGAGCTCAGTTTTAGCATGCTCTTCATCAGTGAGGAAAAAGGCATGCGAGATGTACCGTAACTGCTCTCTTTTTCTGCAACTGTCAGATGATTATACTTGTTCAAGAAAAAGACTTCAGTGGTCAGAAATCTACCACAGACTAAAACTTCTCAAGGTATTTTGCCTTACTACCCTGCATACTTTGGAGTTTTTAAATGTAGAAAATCACAGAAAATGTCCTGCATTCCCCATGACAATATTAACTCACAACTGTCTTCTGCTCGTAATTGAGGTTTTCCATGTGATCACATAATTGTATAAAATAATTTCACTTTATGCAAAAACTGTTTTTCATTCTGTTACAAGATGTGGTATCAGAAAAATCTGATCACAGTTTCCTGATCAGTGGTGGATGTGATGTCAGATGGCATTTTTGGTTTATAAAGAGACCCTGTCGTGGAGGCTGCTGCCCGGCATTGGAAAGCAAATTGCAAGGCCAGCAGGAGAGGGGAAGATGTTGGTGGTTTGGCCTGTGAAGCAGCAGTGGTGCCTCTGGACTGGAGGATCCTTTGTGTTTCTAGGATATCCAAATTCTTAACTCAGACTTGGAGGTTCAAGAGAGTGGGACAGAAGGAAACCCTTTCTCTGTAGCTCTAATGCTTCCCTTAAGTAGCCTCAGCTGTCTAGTTGAAATAACCGATGCTTGTTGCCTTGAAACTCATTACCTCCTCTGTGGTTAGCCACGGAATTAAGCCACAAATTAAGTCAGGTGGTCAACGGGATGCAGCACCCAACAAGTGTATAAATAGTCCTTTTGTGTCCCTCGGGTAGGCTGGGATGGGAGTGCGTTGACCTTTCCTGCTCCTGCCAGTGAAAGGCAGGGAGCCGTGTGGTTCTGCTGATTCCTCTTTCGAGTTGTTCCTGGCTGGCTGTGTTTGCTGGTGGAGAGCCAACTCATTCGGGACAGCCTTGGGTTTGTGTCTGTTCTGGGAACGTAGTTCCGCATCAGCTTTTGTAGCAGCTAACTTAAACATAAAAAAACTGACTGTCCTTTCAGTTCTAGGTGTGTTTTATCGATAGCTTCTCTTCTTCCCCCGCCCCTCCCCGGTTGTACTAATATATGTGGGGTTGGGCTGTGAGATGTTGAAGCTCTCTGATATAAATTAACTAACAGCTGTATCAGCCGTGGGGAAGAGGGGAAACTGCATTGCATGCAAGAGCATGAGCTTTTTCCATCAGTTCTGCTGCTGGAGAGATTGTGCACTGCGTCCCGTACTGTGAGCCTTCCTTTCCTTCCCGCTCTCACGGCCCTGCGTGTGAGCTGCAGGGCAGCAGGCAGCCGACAATTCCCTTTCTTCCCTGCTCAGCTCCAAGGAAAGGAGTAACCTCACACTCCTCTTGCTATCCAAAACAAAACTAGGAGCCCTAGGTTAGCCTTTTGTTGCTTTTCTTATGCCAAGAGCAGCTCAGTCACCTTTTGAGGAAGCAAACATTGCACTTGGCCACTGAAATTTTATTTTCAAACCATCGAGAAACATGCCTCTTAAACATGATAAAGGGTTTTTCCCGCTGCTGTAGTGGGACCAGGAATACTTATGCTCTCACCTAATTTTTTCTTTCTTGAGGTTTTCTTTTAAAAATTTTTAATCTTTTAATAACCTAACAGGGAAGGAAGGATGTGAAATTGAAAATAGGCATTGAAAATGGGATTGTTGTTCCATCTCGCAGTTCCTAGTGGTTTGTTCTGTTCCAAGAAATTACGAGCCTGTCTTGTTTTGTTTCCCTGGCGCTATGTGTTTTTAATTTCAGTTTTCTTTGCTTTGGTCTGTGAGCAGGAGGCAGAGAAAACATTTTTTCAAGAGATATGTGTCCCTGCATGTAGCTCTGCTCTCCCTTCATTCCTCTCCCCTCTTTCCCTCCTTCTTCCCAGCCCCAGTAAAAACAGGGCTGCAGCACACGCATCTGTCGCCTGTGCTGTGCTGGCTGAAAGCTGCTGAGCAACAGCACCAACCAGGATACAACCTCTTCACATCTTCCTTCTTGTTGAAGCCCTTTGGAGGAACATGTTTTGCTGGCCTGAGGAACGTGGCTGAAAACATTAATCAAGTTCTGCCTGCAACAGCTTGTAGCAGTGAAGGTGTATGCTGTTTGGGCTCTAATTTTAAATAGCCTTTGTCACAGTTGCAACTAGATGTTAAATCTTGTGTTCAGATTGCTTTTGACAAGGTTGGCAAAAAAATGCCTTAAATCAGATTGCAAAATAAGTTGTTGAAATATGAATGAGAAAGGAAAAAAAAAATATGCTTTGAAGGCGGTGGATGGTGGTTTCCTGTGGGTGTTGCTTGGCCATAATTTGTGTGTTGTGTTGCAAGGACTGCCATGAGTTGGGAGGCACAGAAGTGCATGTGGGCAGTTTCAAGCTGTAGCTTCTTGCTGCTTATGGAGAAGTTTATTCTGTGTGTGATTTTTTTTTTTCATCTGACAGTGTTTTGTTTTAACATTTAACATCTAATCACAGCTAACAGTTACAGTCACAACCAGTAATTCAGGAACAGAAGGCAAAGTGAGCACTGGCTTTCCCTGCCAGGTGCTGTTGACACATTTACTGTTGGCTTCCCACTTGTGATCCTTCAGAGACCCAGAGAAGGATTTCGGGTCTTACTGGTGATACATGTTTTAAGTCAAGCTGATTGACCAACTTCAACCTCAGCATTTCCTACTGCCATAAAAAGGGCAGGTAAAGGCTGTGCCAAACGTATTCTGCACATATTTGCATTGTTTTCATTAGACTTTGAATTAAGGTCTGCCATTTTAATGTTTCTGCTGTTCGTGGACTGCAGTATGTTGCCCTTTCTCTTAGATGAGATGAGTTGGCAACATCACGTGCATGTATGAGCCTTGTAAAATATAGTTGTCTGTAGAAAGGCACCTAAAGGTACCATTGTTCCTGAGTAGATTTAAACAGCAATTTTGCATCAGCATGCTTTCCAGAGCTCCCTAGATCTGTTGCCTTGCTGTTCCAGGAGAATAACACCTCTCGTCTGTAAAGCACGTCTGTTGTTTGCTGCTGCAAACAGCTCGTGTTTCACGTGGCCCGGTACTTTCATAGATGCATTTTGTTAAAGACTACTGAATTTATATACTCATCTGCACCAGCTTCCCCCTTTACTGGTGCTGTGGTTTGTACCCTTGCAGAAACTGGCAGCTGGTTTTAATACATGTTTTGACAAATCTCCCTGCTGAAGGGTCTGATTTCTTAAATACACTTTTCAGAAAACTTCCATGTAACTGTGTGCTTTGCTGTTTGATACACCTTTGAACTCTTGGAAACTTTTAAGGATACTTGAGTTCTTGATGGCTAGGTGGAAATCTTCCTTCCAAGAGCTCGAAAGAAAAGCCAGCATCCTCCAAAATGAAAAGTCTCATCTCTGTGCCGGATGTTTGAACACAGCTGACCTGTAGCAGCGGGCACGATACAGGGTTTGCAGCTTGTTGGGGCCAGCTGATGGCAGCCAGATCTAAGAACAGACTCCTTGCCTCTGGGAGATGCTGGGATGCTGAATCTTTTGAGTCTGTTCTTGCCAGAGCACCGACCTCATTCGCAGGGATTGAAGAGGAACAAGGGCTAAACTAAGAGCACTTTTCTTCTGGGGGCAAGGCATCACTTGGGCTGTGTTTTGTCAGGTGCCAAATGCTGCAGAGATGCGTGAAATGTGGTGTTTGCCGTGGTTTTTTCTAAACCACATGAAGAAACAGATCAGAGACCTGTGTGGGAACGTCCGTGCGAATGGGAAAACGCATGCCATTTCAGGAACTCATTACTTAATTTTTATCCCTCCTTAGTTTTTAGCAGACGTCACTACTTTCTTCTTGTTTAGTCCCTTTTTAGTCAAGCTAGTAAAAAGTAGGTAGTCCTGTATTCCAGCAGGAGAAGGGATAGCAGAGATGTGCTGTAGATGGGGGAAGTGCAAAGCCCCAGGCTGGGTGTGCCTTGTCTAGCTGTCGGAATAGATTTGAATGCAGCTTCTCTTCTCCCCCACCCTCTCTGTCTATTTATTTTTACGGAAATTATTTTCTATGAATAGAACAACTACTGTTTCAAAGGCAAACCAGAACTTGTGTTTTGAGCCCTCTATTGGCCTCTGTGGTGGTTGGAAATACTTGCAGTCTCATGTTTGGAGTTGACCTGAACACCTTCGACAACCGCCTGTTGAGGTCTGTTGGTTGATGTTCTGCAAAGACAGTTTTGCCAAGGTTTTCTCTGGCCGAGCCCAAGATCTTACTGCAGTCTGGTTATACTCTGCTACCTGCTCCTGAACTGGTGAGGTTAATGGATACCCTTTCTGTGATGATACACAGGGTGACTTCTATTCCAGTCTCCTCTTGTCCACGAGATGCTTAGTGTCTGTCCACTCCCCAAAAATATAGCCATATGTGTGTGTATATATATATATATACACACACACACACTGTTTTTAATCGGAGAATGTGGCATTTAACATCAGTGCCTCGACTTGCCTCAGTTTTAGCTTTGGTTGTTTCACGTGGGTATATTATGAGTGATTTCAGAAGTTCAGGATTTGGTCACTGTCTTTAATTACCGTGAGTGTCTGCAGTACAGAGAAAAGTCATTTTGTCACTGCTTGTTAAATGGTGCTGAGACTTTAAAGTATAGAAGGGTAGATAGTAAAAGTACATGGGGCCGGGGGGATGAGGTGCTATTTTATAGAACAGATTTATGTGAAGAACATCTGGGTAAAACTCAGCTCAGAGGAGACGTGGTGCCTCATCAGAGACACCAGACGATAGATAGATGATTTTTAAGAATAAAGCTGTTTCTTCTAATTGGTGAACTTACAGTTTCAAAATTATGACTTTGCCTGTTGGTTTTAACGGTAGTCACTTCTTCGGTGGTGGCGACTTCATGCGGGAGGAGGGAGAGGATTAATTTGGAAGATTTCAGCTCACCGTGCTGGGAGGGACCAAACTCAAGGAAACCTGATCTATATACATAACTGCTGCATTTTTTTATAAATATATGTAAATGTCCTATTGTAATATTTGATCCTGGAAATAAAACAAACTGTTTTCAATAGCTTCCTTCATCTCTTGGTTTTGGGGCTTGGGGTTTTTTTGTTGTTTTAGTTCTAATGAAAGTTTGTCCCTGCGTTATATGGAGAGTTGGTGAGTTTTTCCTTAAGGTTACCGGAATAGAAGGGAAGGAAAGAAAACCAAGCCAAGTTCCCTATGTGTGTCATCTGACTTTTTAGTAAAATTGTCAGATTGGGTGCTTTCCTTTTTCCTTTGCCTCCTGCCAAGTTGAGGTTCACAGTCCAGAATAGGTCCAGGTTCTGCTGAACCTCTGGGAAGCTTATGATTTTCCTATCCTGGCTGTAGCAGCTTTTGTTGACACTGATTCTTGTCATAAAATAAGTAGCAGAAGCTGCAGCTCAGCTGAAGAAGTCCAAATCTGTGTCGTTTTAGATACTAGCTCCAGGTCTGCCCAGCCAGCAAGGACAGGATGAATTCGAGGCCTGAACTTGAGGCCTGTCTGATAATAAACACAACCAAGTAACTGACTTCAGTAGAAAGTGCCCAGTTCCTGCTGATAAGGAATTGTTGATTACAGGGAGCTGCTGGCTTGGCCCAAGAAAATTTCAGCCCATTCTAGAGGTTACAAAATCTTGAAGTGAGACAAACTTTTGATACCTCAATAGAAAAAAATACCCCGATGAAAATGAATATAAAGGGGCAGGGCTAGGATTTTCCATACTTCTCAGTGGCAGAGTGTGGAAAATGTGACTTTATTCTGAATCGTCTGTGTCCTCCTGGTACAGGTGTTGGCAGGACGGAGCCTTTGACTTGTGCGATTGTCTTCTGGGCTCCTTGGGACGTTCCTGCAATGGCCTGACATGAAATGCCAACAAGCAGAGTCCTTTCTGGACACGTACCGAGCAGGTACAGTGGGGAAACAAAAGCTTAAACTGACCTCGGGTCGTCCTTGTGTTCCTGACTGAGGTGGGTCTCCCCTTGAACGGTGACTTCAGCCACTGCCCCAGTCTCGCTCTGTTCGAACTCTCCAAAAAGTTACGGAACAGGGAGGCTGACGGTGCCAACAGTCATGCTAAAACCTTCCACCGGTGTTCGTTGGGGCTCCTCTCCGGCATGCCTGGCAGAAGGGGAAGTGTGTTTGGCTTGGCTTACCCAAACCCAAAGCTTTCTCCGGGGAGGTTGTCCGAGTTCTGAGGTTAACACCCTTCGGGGGGGCCCCCACCTGCAGAGGAGCCCGGGAGAAGGCTGCTGCTCCGGCCGCCTTCCCAGGGGTATCGTGGAAGTGACTCCCTAGTTCTCAGCATGTGCACCCCGGCACTACGTTAACCGGACAGGCTCAGTTTTCTGTGATGAAGCCTTGCTCGTGCTGGAAAATGGCCTGATCTCTTCGTGCCACTTAGGAAAATATTTCCCGTTCCAACCGAGTTGGAAACACTTTTTCATCGCAGTCTGCGGGTCAAGGAGCTCCAGGATAGAGTCAAGATACATCTTGTTTTCAACTTATTTTTCCTTTCTGCAGACTCCTTCCCACTTTTAACCGGGTGGGTATATCTCATCTGATGTATTAAATCAGGTGAAATTCATAAGGAAATTAAAGGAAATGCCATATTGCCTAGTAGGATCGTGTTGATATTTCTTCAGCTGGGGTTCTAGCCACAAATTCCGTGCAGGCCTTGTCTAAGGGGATTGCTGTTGGCAGCAAACGTGCCCACACCTGAGTCCGGAGAGGTCTTGGCTCGTGGCAGAAGTAGATTTGCAGGTGCTACCGAGAGGAGTGGGGGACACCACTGAATTGTGCTGAGCAGGACCAGGGCGGAGGTTGGTTTGGCACCGGAAAGGTTCAAGCTCGCCGATTCGAACTCAGCTCAGCCTCTTTGATTCTTCCTGAAGCCAAACCACTCTCAATGCCCGACCCGCCCCGCGATTTCCACAACCCCAGAGGAGCTGGGGAGAGCCGAGAGCGACGGAGCGTGGTCAGAGAGGGTGGACGCGGCGGTTAGGAGAAGCAAACCGACCTCGGAGTTCCGAAGGAGCCGTTGCCGAACGTGACCTGCAAACCGTGGGCTGGAGGAGGAGTTGGCCCGAGGACCTTACCGAGCCAGGATCTCTCGGCGTGGGGCCACGTTTGGCAGCACCGTGGCGGGGTGACTCGGCACTTGCCCCTAAAGGCCGTGCTGACACTTTCACAGCTAAGCTCTCATGCAAGAAAGGGAGGCAGGCAGCCACTCGCGGTGCTCGGGAGGCTGTGCAGGGCTAAAATCAGCCTTTTATTATTATTATTATTATTATTACTACTATTACAGACTTGGGCTGAAGTGGGTGTAAGGGGAAGACTGGTGATCCTGGGGCGAAGATTCACCCTGACGCTTCCTGCTGAATGGCCTGGGGTTTTTTGCGGGAGATGATGGACCAGATCATGTGTGTGGCAACGTAGGAAGCTCAGATTGCTCTGACGTAGAAAAGGGCACAAGATGAAGTTGCAACACACTTTTTTTTTTTTTTCCCAAGAGTGAAAAATGTTTCCTTTCTAAGTTAAAAAAAAAAAAAGGAAGGAAAAACTGGATTTTTCTCAGCAGTCTCCTGTCCTACATGTCTCGCCTTTGCTGCTGTCTGCTTTTCAGAGACAGCTCATCTTATTTAAGAATAAAATGGGGATTTACGTGCTGTTGCAAACTCTGATTTTCCTTTCAGAGGCACTATCATTATTCAGGTAATCTGCTCCTTTCAGTTTATTTTTCCTAGAAAAACAGAATTGGCTGATGTAACCCAGCCTCACCTGTTTGTCTTTTGCCATGTGGCACTCAAGGGCTCCGACTCCTTTTTCTATTTCTTCTAACAGACAGTGGCACGCTGTACTTAGAGCAGGTTTTATATTCTCAGTGGTCCTATACTCATTGCTTTGAAAGCAGAAGCCACTTTGAAATGCGTTGGCAAATGGTACTCGTGTGTGTTACTCTAGGCAGAGCAAGTTGGGTTATAAAGCAAACGGTAGCACTCTAGTTGCCTTTTTTTTTTATTTTTTTACAGCAAGACTGTATCAGGGCTGTAAGAAAGATAGCTGCACTTACTGTTTGTCTCCTGTGGCTGTTGCAGACAAGGTAGCGCACGTCCCGGGCAGCTGATGTGCCTCGTCCCCATGATGAACACACGAGGAATATGAACCTTCTCTAAATTCTTCGAGAGGATTCTTCCTTTAGCCTGCACAGCCCGTGAGCAACATTCCCCTTTGCT